TTAGTGTTGACGATTGACCTTTTCCGTGATAATTTCACAAGTGAACTGACGCTTCTAAGCCATTTCGAAAGTTTGGGACCGCATAGCATTTCTATTTTTTGACAAAAACGGCTGAAATATATATTAGAATATGGGGAAGCTATAGTAACTGGACGTGAACCACAAGTAGCTGGAATTGGCCGTCTTTTTGATACAAACACTTGCGCAGGAACTGATATGGGCCCATCTTGCTATGGATAATCGTGCACGCGAGGGGGTAGATAACAATGTGTCTTTCCTAGCAACAATTAAGCAATCAGCCGAGCAAAGATATCCCCACTAGAACAACAAACAAGTAAAACTCAATCATTGACACATAACCATTCCGCGATCAACCGCAAAAGCAACGACAAAAACACATAAAGGAAAAGAGAAAAACGCCCGATATCCATCCCCAATTCACTACGCTCACCCCCCCCCCCCCGATACGTTAAAATCAAAGTTGGTCCTAATCACGACGGCAGGTGCCTTATCAAACGCCCCCCGGTGCATCTCCCGCCTTCCACTTGGCAAGTGTTCCGCACGTATAGGTTCTGGCCGAGGAAGCCGGGCTGCTGACTATCCCCGACCATGCACTGTGTCATAAACCTTCCCGGGCAGGACCTTGTTGGGGTGGGTCTCTATCCATGAGGTTAGAATGTAGTCCGCGTATGTGCGTGAGGCGCTGCGGCCCCCGGGCTTATGACCCTCTGCATCGCTCCCAGGGAGAGTCGGAAGGCGCCCTGTGTCGTGCGGGGGTACTGTACTTGCCCCCCGACCGGCCAGATAAGATCGCCTTTAGAATTGCGTCAGCCCTTGGCTAGATTATCGGGGGAGAGGCGAGGGTGCTTACCATCGGGGGGTAGATCTGTATCGGCTAGCTTCACTCTAATCTCCAATCACCATTCCTCACTCTATAGAAGCTCCATGATAATTTGTGAATCCGTGGCGTAATCATCTAGAATCGGAGAAGGCCAGGATGGCTTCCGTATTTACCTTGCTAAAGTCTCTCGGTCAGGCGCTCACCATCTTCCAGGTGTCGGAGATCATATAGGAAGCGATGCTCTGGAACCAGGCGGCGATATCAGTTGGCACGACCACGTCCTTGAAGCCATACAACTCCACTGGCAAAGTGTGGTAGAGCTCACTCAGCGCCCTCTTGGGTGTGTGGCACTGGAATAAACTGCTTTGTGGAGAAAAAACGGCTTCTTTAGGCTCTTGCTAAACTAGGACACTTGGCTAAGTTACATCCAACTTCTCCCTGGAATTGGTGAGAAGTATATGAAGGATCTTGATCCCAAGCTCATTCCTCCCTCCCCGCCTAGAGTCCCAAACGCTCTCTGTCCCCCTTGGATTAACCCATCTCCGCGAACAAGCATTCGGTCTATATCGAATATGAAGGATAGATTCATTGTGGCTGAAACCTTCTCTCCCTCGTAAGGCCTTGGGTCTTGATAAGGAGTATCGTAGGGGGAGAGAGGTGACTGGATTGGAAGCAAAGAGTCGAAGGAGCTTCCGGGGCCCTGACTCCTGCATGTATACGGGAGAGATGGGGGGGGGTTTCGAAATCTCGGCCGTGTTTTCGGTGTCCCTGAAGTTTTTTTCTTCTTCTTTTGTGGGTGAGGATTGGCAGGGCGCCATGTTGAGACTCTCGTCTAAATACGTATTGATTTGGATTTTGGGGAGAAAGGAGTGGGACTCATGTATGTATCTTGCTGCCCTCCCCCCATTCCGTTACTCATCATGAGGAGCAACCAAAAGTCGGAACTGCTGAAAAAAGGCGTATCAACAAGTTCTATTATTCTCGGTGCTGGGTATATGATAGAAGCTACTTTGTGTTTTCTCAAAGAAGACGCAATCTGCAGTAGTGAACATTGGTTCAAACCCTCCTCCTCCTCCTCGGGGGGTGGACTATCCAATAGATACTCTCTCCCTCTCCTCCCTAACAACTTCTTTAACACCATCCATACTACCAGGTCCGTCCCCAACCTTTACCTACCCACGCACAAACAACCGCTCTACCGCCACACCTTGCTTGTAGGGACGCACATACTTCTCATTATCCCCCGACACTCCTAGAAACGCTGGATTTTAGGGATATTCGATTTTACGAGCGATACCTATCAACACAGCAGCGCTTGTATCGCCAAGGCCACCAGAGAAGAAGAGTGATAGTTTGTGTTGCCCCTGACGGCTATACCGTATGATACCTCCGGAAGGATAAATTTCTTCAATCCGACATCACCCAATTTCTTTTCATTTCACTCCTCCTCCTACCCATTCCCCTCCGAACGAATCCAAAGGTGCAGGCCCAGGGTACCGTAACCATTCCCAGAGCCCCTCTAAACCAATTGCAATGGGGACAAAAAAATTGCAGTAATATTATCGTGCCTGCCCCCCGGTCGTCAAATAATACAAAGTCCGAGTATGAGATTATAAAACTTAGTACCACAAGTCCAACACCCCAACACAAGTAACACTATACTATACAGCCAAATTTAAATGAACCTCTCGACCTTAACCTTAGCAATCGCACGGTACAGCACAGCGGCGAACTCCCCGCACAGTACCTGTCAATCCACACGCGACCACGTCGTGCGTGCAATATAATAAATACCCTAGCCCACTGCACCCAGCCAGCCAGCCAATCGATAACTACTCGTGTCATATTAATGACTATCGGAAAGGTTCCAAACGGCTACTGTGCATCACGCAGAAGCCCGAACCACCTTCGACAGCGCGGGGAGAAGCATGATCTGCAGCGTCAGTCCCGGTGTCAATCCCGTTTTGACATGGCCCATTTTCTGCAAGGGAGCTCCATGTAAATGTTTATCTATTTTTCCCCCCCCTTATCCCTTCAGTTCTCACATTTTTCGCCGTCACCCCAGAGATCCATGAAGAGGTGATATTGGGGGCCCCGGAAGAGAGGGCTCCGATTTGGTTTTGATGGTGGGTTGTAGACTATAGTATACTGCGGTTTATGCTAGATGGTATTGGGGGGGTGCTATGATAGGAAAGTGGTTTAATTCTCTCTAAAAGAGTTTCAACCAAGAAGGTGAAGGGGTCGCTCCTGTTGGTCAGGTCCTCAACTTGGCTTTTGGAAATGCGAAGGTGAAGGTTGGATGGTGAGGGGAAGGGGAAGAGAAGTGAGTGCTGTATAGAATGAGATATAGTGTCTGGATGTCACCACCGATGAACCGTAAATCTATCAAACATCTTCAGCCATGCTCTAGACCGTGTGAACCCTCAGCGAGGCGACACCCTCAGTGAGGCGCGGCACGGCTTGGCTTGCTACGGTAGTTAAAATCAAGGAGCTTTTGCAGCCAAGTCTCGCCGCGCCTCGCTGAGGGTTCCCATGGTCTACCGCTTACAGCACAATATCACCACCCGGTAGAGGAAATGTACCCACAAGATAACTACGCTCACCAGCCAGGTTTCAGGACCCCCGCAAATGAAGGACCCCGTGCGAGCGCCCCGTGGTCCACCGGGAGTACCACCTCATCACGGGGGGGTCTGGAACCACCTCTAGGAGCCGGGTGGGCTACTGCAGAGCTTCTAGGAGAGCCTAGAAGGGCTCGAGTTGGCGGATCTAGATCCCATCCAACCTATTTGGCCACAACAGCTGAGCGGGGAGATGTCTGGAAGCTGAAGATTGGGAGTGTGAAGTTTTGCTACCACTCTCCTGACAACTCCTCTTTTGATAGATGGTGACATCATAGTTAGAAATGTCCAAAAGTATGATACCTTACCAAAAAAAAAAAAAAGCATAAACAAAGATCCAACACCTACCTGGCGCGCCCCAGAACCACTACACCTCGGGGAGAGCCCAAAGCCATCAGCATGTCAAACCGTACGATCACACTCCTCAAGGACTTCCTAAATATCGCGAGGATCCCCCACATGTAAACAGAGTAAAAGTCCACCCATTCCTGACAAACACCCGCTAGCTCGTTTTCTTCGGGGCGGATAAATTCTACCGCGCGCTTATTCCCCCCTCGGCTCGCAAGGGCGAGTGCCCACGGCCGAGGAAAGGGTATCGGGGAACCACCGCCTGAGCGGTTGGGAGAGGGCATGCGGTCATTCCCAAGAGCGGGAACCCAGGCGAGATGGAGCAGTTTGAGCATTAGGAGATGGGGGGAGAAGCTTCGCATGAGTAGCGAGGATGTCGACACGAGTGATATGTTTGGGTATGATACAGTATCATATGACGTTTGGTTGAACGGGAGAAGAAATTGTCCAGTCTTGTCTTTCCCTCTTTTTTTCACTTTTCATCCTCTCGATCTCCACATTGGTTTCACAAGTCAGACTGAAAGACAACTATAGCATTTTATTATGAACTTAATTCTCGTACTCTTCCATACAGTACGGTAGAGGGTGCGGCAGGAGTGGCCTTCACCAATCGCGCCAGTTGGCCGCATGCATGCATCCACTCGAGGGCACTCAGTCCAAGACGTTGTGACATGGAGCAGAACCACCACAACCACTTATTATCACTCGTAAACCATTTCCATCCTTGACCGGACTGCAATATTTAAGCCATGCCGCCCACCACTCCTAGTATACTAACTTGCATACAGGCCCAAGAAACTTCCAAAGGCATCGACAATGCACCTAGTTTCTAGTGTTGTGTGGTGATACCTCTAGCCATTTCAATAGGATACGGCTCGTGAGATGGGCAGATATCAAATAGCATCGCATGTCCCACACGAGAGGCAAAGTTTACAACGCATTATCTACCGCTTTGGGGCGAAAATAGGACACCCCATCCACAAGCCAGCATGTAAACCACCTGTGATATCAATACCGAAACCACCTCTGAATTAATACAAATCTCAATGAATTGACCTCGTCACACCTCCCAATTACTCCCAATTTCAAAGAACTGTACCATTGCATTAATTCCCACCAACAGCATGCCATTCAGATTCCGAAAATTTTTCCCAACCATCAACCACTTTCACGCCTAGGCCGACAAAACAAAACACACAAAGATGGGTATAGATATTAAATCCGATACAGTAAGAATGAATAAAACATACAGATCCACCTCCGATCATGCTTCCATCCTCCTCCCCTATTGCTCTAAACTAGCACGGTCAAGAGGCAGATCAATCAGATATCATTCGCCATCAGCGGGCAACTCCTCCTCGTATGCCTCTCCCTCATCATCAGAGATTCCGGCATCTTGGTATTGCTGGTACTCAGCAACCAGGTCATTCATGTTGGACTCGGCCTCAGCTACAATATAGTTAATTATCAACGATACCCCATTAAGAGACTCAACTAAACTTACTGAACTCCATTTCATCCATACCCTCTCCAGTATACCAATGCAAGAAAGCTTTCCTCCTGAACATGACAGTAAACTGGTCACCAATACGCTTGAACATTTCCTGGATACTGGTAGAGTTTCCGATAAAGGTAGCGCTCATCTTCAATCCCTTAGGTGGGATCGAGCAAAGGGCAGTCTGGACGTTGTTGGGGATCCACTCAACAAAATAACTGGAGCTTTTAGTCTGGATATTGCGCATCTGGTCCTCAACCTCTTTCATAGAAACTTTTCCACGGCTAGATAATGTCAGTTTTAATTTGCCTAGAGCAAGACTGGAGATCCTACAAAATAGTAGCACAGGTGAGATAGCGTCCATTACGGAAATCGGGAGCAGCCATCATATTTCTCGGGTCGAACATTTGTTGGGTGAGTTCTGGAACAGTGGCAGCACGGAATGAGTGGGCTCCACGCGATGTGAGAGGTGCGAACCCAACCATGAAGAAATGGAGACGGGGGAAAGGAACCATGTTGACAGCAAGTTTGCGGAGGTCAGAGTTCAATTGGCCAGGGAAACGAAGACAAGTGGTGACACCCGACATGACAGCTGAAACAAGATGGTTGAGATCTCCATAGGATGGAGCGGCAAGCTTAAGCGTTCGCATGCAGATATCATAAAGAGCCTAGAGATTTATCAGTTATCGAGTGTTATAAGTAGTTAGTTCGAATGAACGTGAGTGCGCACCTCGTTATCAATACAGAAAGTCTCATCAGAGTTTTCAACTAACTTCAAGTCAACGGCCAAATCGCCATCATCGGGAAACACTTATGAACCGACCTAGCTGGTGAATAGAGAGAGTGGCGTTATATGGTTCCACAACAGTATCGCTGACCTTAGGGCTGGGAACAACTGAAAAGGTAGACATCATTCTGTCGGGAAACTCCTCCCTAATCTTGCTAATAAGCAAGGTACCCATACCGGCACCAGTGCCACCGCCGAGTGAGTGAGTGATCTGGAAACCCTGAAGGCAGTCGCATCCTTCAGCTTCACGACGGACGACATCCAATACTTGATCAACGAGTTCGGCACCCTCAGTATAATGACCCTTGGCCCAATTGTTACCAGCACCAGATTGACCAAAGACGAAGTTGTCAGGGCGGAAGAGTTGGCCAAAAGGACCCGAGCGAACCGCATCCATGGTACCAGGCTCAAGATCAACGAGCACCGCACGTGGCACATACTTGCTTCCAGAAGCCTAAATTCAAGTACGCTAAGCCCAAAACGTAGAAAGGGGTTATTATCAAGGAAAAAGTATAAAAAAATACCTCGTTGAAGTATACACTCATACGCTCCAATTGAATATCAGAGGTTCCTCCATAGCTATGGCCACCACATTAGAGCTCGGAACCAAATAAAACCAGGCCAATCAGGCCAGGTAAAAGGGGGATAAATACACTCCAGACCCGTCAAGACCATGCTCTCCACCGATGGTTTGCCTATAATAGTTACACCGCGTTAACTCGTACCCCAGATAACAATAAGAATTGATTGGTCGCACCAGAAAGCAGTTCCAATTTGGTTACCCTTTATGAATCTTAACTTAGTATGTCACGAGAAGATAAACAATGAGAGTGAAGGCTTACGCATTGTCCGGTTTGGAGATGAATCTATAACGGAAAAATGGAACCATCAGCAAAGAACTCTAGGGTTGGAGGTGACAGAGGAACGCCTGGGATATAGCAATATCCAAGCATTTTCGTCAGGGAATCAGACAGAAGGATAAATACAATTTCACGCATTCTGGTTAAAGATGAAGAAAGCTTAAGAGCGCAAAAAAAGGCAAGCTGTAGAGAAGCTTGATAATAGGACTTAAGAGGGAGATGGTAAGACGGAGGGGGGCAGAGGATGATAAAAGGGATGGAGGATGATAGATGAATTGGTGGCAAGAGAGTGGGTGGTGAGGAAAGGGAGGATGACGATGGGATGAAGGAAGGTTGCTTCACAAGGGAGGTGAGAGGAAAACAGCAGACCTGTGCCCTACAACAGGAAAAAATCCCATACAAAACTAGCCAAGGAGAATGGGAGGAATATGAACCAGCCCCGCCCGCATCCACCTCGCTGGCAGCACAACCCCAAATCCCTCGCCAAAATGAACGATCGGGATGCTCCTTCCTCCCTTGGTTCAGATTTTTAACGTGCGTTTATGTTCACAGCGGCCCGTACTTTTGGGAACATCATCAGAGCTTTGTCCACACTTATCAATCATTTACCACCGCGCCCCCAGTCCCAATAGACTCTAAAACACCCACGATATGATTGCCAAACACCCGCGATATGATTGCCAAACTAAGATACTATTCCCCCATCTTCTGCCCTAACGTATCAGATCAACAACAACGCGAGGGGAAAAAAAAATGGCGACCCCAGGCTGTCAAAAGCAAAGAGCCGCATCACTTACAACGCCAACCCCCAAACACCCCTGCCTCAACCTTCCCCAAGCCTCTCCAATGCTTTTCATCAACCTACGAAAGCCCCTGATTTCGGATGTCCATGATGCGACCTCAGCATCTATAATTTCTTTTTCTCGCCGAATTGGACTTTCACAAAAAAAAAAAAAAAGACCTGAGTGCCGGTAAAGAACAAGAGGAAGATCCCAATCTAATGCAGCCACTTCACGTGCACTCACACGTTAATATCGTAGTCTACAGACCAGCACTGGCCATATGCCGGTTCGGTGGTGCCAGGGTAATAAATATTATTGAAACTATCACGGCATCATAATCCTCACAAATGAAAAAGGAATCCAAAGGATATAGGTGCAGGTAGAAACCTTTTGCCATACCGGTACCGGTACCGATTAAGGTTAAACTTCCAGCGGAAGAGTCCAATTTGCCAAAGAAAAACCATGGACGATGTCTTATACTCGAGTAGTGTATGACACTGCATCGTGCGAGTTGGCGTCAGAAAGAGATGAGCAGTGTACTCGTACAGATCCTGCGAAGCAGTCAACAGTCAACACTGAGGTCTCATTCATAGGCGAGACAACCCCATGGAATTCACCTTCTACGATAGCCCCTCGGAGTGCTTTACCGTATCTCAGCTAGTTAATGAATTGCCCCGAGAGTTATGGTTTGCGCATGGGGCTTGGCGCTTCTTAGAACTCCAACTTTGCAAGCAGCATTGCATGCCAACGCAGCGAAGAATTCCTTGAACTATTGTGGAAATATCTGAAGGGATATTGGACTATTATCAGCTTACCAAAATTTTGCCACTCCAGGATCCATTGAACGAAAGGAGTGAAGTAGAATGGTTTGGGTTGATATGATACATACGCTTCTGCTCATCATTTTTGAAGTCCTGACGCTAGCATAAGTACTCGAGCAGAATCGTGTCGGGTGATACCGGTATGTTTCGCTTCTGCAGGTATGTGGGGAGGGTAGAATACCAACCCCACGTGATTTGGTTAACTTGTTAGCTAAGCATGACGTCTGGTTCAGTGCCCCAAAGACCTCTCGAACGTACGAGTACTCCAGTGTCATACCTGCCGAAGCGACATACCACCCGACACGATTCTGCGGTTAGCCTAAAAGCAGAACCAAATCCATCCGATCAGATTTCCTGCTTTACTCTGGCTAAACCCTCCTGTCCACCGATCACGAAGCATCCCTAACGGTAACAGATCGGGCGGAAAAATGGGAGACAGACAAGGTAGCAAATATCCAATTTTGGTGCTACCGTTTGTCAGTTGTTCTACGCCATTCCGCAAATCCTTAACTTTCTCTTTGATGATTACCGGTATTGCTTCGGCCCCCCTGCGCCAAGACACGACGGGGGATGTGGTGTCAATACCCCTGAAGATTGCGTGATACTGCGGGAGTTCCAGACCCTGCATCGAGATTGGCTGGAGGATGATACTGTACTTGTACTCGTACTGTGAGTATCACTAAGATGACTCTAGATTGCGTGCTCTGGAGAGCCAAAGTGGTATTGGAACATCCACAAGCTATTGCGTGCTCAGAAGATCTCCAAGTGGCACAATGGAATGTGGCTTTCAACGGCATTCCTCTGTCTTTATAACCCTGTCTTCCGCCCGTAGATATGATAGAAGAAATTGGAGAGCGATTAGGTCTTCAGTTCATGCTCCTTCCCCTATATATATTTCTACCGCTGCTGGTACGGATGGCTTCGGGGATTTCTGGGATATTTGTTGACTTTGGCCGCAGAGAGTGGGAGGTCGGCCTCGAAGGCCCTGGCCAATAGCCCGAAACTGACCGCAAAAGTGGAAATGAAGCAGACAGTTTCCACATCCCTTGAGGCCTCGAGGGGCTTTCTCTGGTCTTCCAATATGGACCGAATTTGGAAGCAAAATATTGCAATCTGAAGCTCCAGCAGGCGCGCTACATACCCCTCCCCGAGTGATACCACGTGACCATCCTACTGGCTCAACTCGACACACAAACCGTGGAGTTATTTTTTTATTTTTGATTCTCGATTTTTAACTATCATATTTTCTTAATGCTGAGCTCTATCTCCTCTACAGAAATCGCCAACACATTTGGCCGACCTGCCTGTACAAGGGAGTTTCCTTCTATCTTTCTCTACTTCCTTTTTGACAACTATCTCCCTCCAGGGCCATATACACAAAGAAAATCTCTACATCGTGGATATTTTTTCTCTCCCATCCTTAGATCCTTTGTGAATGCTATGCGCCTAACAGGTCAGGCCCTCGATCTAACTTCGGGTTCGTGCTCTAATATCCATTTGTGCTCCGCCCTTTAGTTCCCTAGGGAGATGATGGCTAACTTGACTGATGGTAGAGCGGTCAGCTCTATATTGGACATCTAGATGGAATACACAGGGCCACCAATTGAGGGGGATACGCCCTGACAGTCAAACTGTGATCCGGGCGTGGAATCACCACATGGCTATCAAGTTCAAAGGCGCTCGAGGAGGCAATCGGCGGTGTGGTGGGCGCGGCGAGTGCTTCCGCCAAGCGCGTAAGCACTAAGAGCTCCACATATTTCTACCACTCGGGGAGGATGGGCATACAGAGTGGATTATATCCTTGCCTCAGTCAACAATCCACTCCCGCCACCGCAGCCGGGGAAAGTTGGGCAGGAGTTCAGCACTCGAGACCACCATTCGGCTTCCGTAGGGGTAGTTGCTTCTCGAGGCTGACGAAGCCATATTGCTCTCCCGGTCTCTTTCTGCAATTCTTGCCCCGGTGGTTCCCTAATCACTGGATTAGCCTTCTTTGAAGAGAGGGGGGTTTGGAAGATAGCCCTAGGTAGTTATTTTGAAATCTCTTCCTGAAAAAGAGGGCTAGAAAATATGTAAGTCATTTACTCACTGACTCCTCTCCCCTCTGCCTTATCCCAAAAACTATGTTTGTATCTGCAGTCGCTATACTCGCTGCTGGAGATTTCGTTAAACACCAACGGATAAGTCTTTTGATATCATGCTTTCTCCTGACTTCAACCTCTATCACTCGAGTTACGTAGCAGAAGGGTTACATATATTAACTCGAGTTTTTGACAGAATTGTAAATGAACGGCTAGTCCGGCTCATTCCCCTCACGCCCAAATGATTGAAGCCTCGCATTGTGCTATTCAATTTATCTCGAAACATGCCTAGATTGACTTAACTAATCCATGTCACCAACTCGTTAAGTTTTCTGCCATCTACCCCTCCCCTTTCCTCCTGCGGCAGCAAAGAGACATTCCCAGCAAAACGGAATAACAGAAAGAAAATAATTAAGGGAAAACGGGACCAACAAATAACTCTAAATCGTTTCCGCTTTCCTCGAGGTCTCAAGAGGGCTACTACACTACTACATTATACCCACCGCCCGACAGGAGAAAAGAGCGCGCTGTCAGGCTTACCTAAAAAGGGGTCCCCCTGCCATGCGCGCACAAGTCACCGTTGCCCTCTCCCTCTAGTCCCCCGCCCGCCCGCCCGCCAACAACGCCGGTGACCCGGTGCCGCGGGCCGAACGTAAGAAAAGATGGGATATAAGAGAAGCCTTTGCAAAAGTCCTATCGTACGGAACGGTACAGGAGCAAAAGCCGACCTTAGAAAGAAATCTCGAGGGAGAGCCTTACTACCATGCATAGGTGAATCTATGTACTCAAGTACCGTAACTTACTACACTACATGTGCCGTCTCGGACGGGAGCGGGGGAGGGTGAAGGGGATCCTAACAAATAGCGAGGGAGGGATTGAGGCAAAAAGAAAAAAACGAGAGAAAAAAAGAAAAGAAATCAATTTTTACGACAGTTTGGCGTTTACTTGTGTGTATGTGGGTATCTTCCCGCCAGCTCCGAACGGCGCGGTCTGATAATCGTATGAAACCCGCTCACTCACTCACACAGCACTCCGACCCTCCAGCAGTTCATGCCGCATCATGCAACTACGTTTTATTTTTCCTTCTTTTTCGGAAGCGGTCACCGAGGATCACTCGATTCACCGCATTTCGGCACTGTGCATACATCTAGCCCAAGTTCACAAAATGGAGAGTCCGGAACACTGTGGGCTAAATGCCTTATCAGGTCGCTTGAGGGGTTGGGGGGGGGGTAGAGGGGAAGCTCGGGGGCCCGGTCATACGCCTTCTTTTTCTTTTTCTTAATCTTCACTTCACTCCCCTTCCCTGCCAAAAATACTCTGCTCGCACAAAGATTTGGCATTTATGTGATAAAGGTCTTAGATAAGAAATGGGTAGTGTGGATTGGATATGTGACTGCGGGGCCAACCTAGAGTCCACATGGCTTTGTGGTGCGTTTCTGGCTCGGATAGCGATACCTACGTAGACTACCGGTATTATCGCCAGTACGCGCGTGTTTGAATCGTGGGATTTCTTTTCTTATTTCTTATTTCTTTTTTCTCCTTGCCCTTTCCCTCCTTCGTTTTTCGGCCCCCAAAGTGACCAATAGTCTATGCGCAGTTCCGTCAGCCCAATAAAGAGAAATAATAATAATAATAATACTAATGAACCCCCGAATAGGTACTCCAATTATCTGAGACCGGATTGATGCCGAATTGCCCTTATAAACACTTGTGCGAGGTCCGAGTTCGGTTAAACCGCGCGGGGCGAACGAGTGGACGGACGAACTCGCCAAGTGGAGAGTCTAGCCAAGTTGACTGCGCGAGTACGGTACGGGTACTCGAGTACATACGGTGAGCGGGGTGCAGCTCTGCTAGAGGAGGAGGAGGCGGTGGTGAGGGAAACGTGAGGATGAGGCGGGTGCTGTGGAAGAGAGACACACAGCAGTCTCTGAATTATACAAGTAATGCAGTAGACTAACGCCTGCGGAAAACGTCGTGACCAGAGCAACAAGTGATCGGGAGAGGCGAAATACCGAGGCCTCGCACTTGGCATCAGAGGTACGGTAGGGATCATGGACACCCCTGCAGTACCACCCCACCGGTCGGCGGTCGGTGTAAACTGGTATTGTGAGTTGACAAAATTAACCGCCATTCAACAATCTGTGGCAACATACCCCTCTTCATCACTCCGCACTCTCAACAGTACCTAAAAAAATTGCTCTAAGTCAACCAAGAAGAAACCATTCTGCTCAATTCTTTTTTTCAATAAACTATGCCTCCTATTCTTCGCAGTCATGCCAAAAAACCTATTCCCTCCACACATCTCTCTGAGTTTACCAGGGGGAGCAATCTCGGGTTACACAAGCCTCAGATGAGATATCAGCAAATTTCCCAGTTTCTTAATATCCCCTACACTACTGTCAGAGACACAATTACAATGGGACATTAAGAGGGCAAGGAGAATAAGGGTAGAGGAAGACATCCTAAAAATACCAAATCACAGGATGATGCTATAGTGGAGGAAGCTCTTAAAAATCACCATACTATCTATTCTGACATTGCTGAGCAAGTTGCTTCCAATGTTTCTAGTAGGACAGTAAGGAGAAGACTTGAAAAAAAGTATCTTAGAAAGTGGATAGTATAAGAGAGAGTTCATTTGGATGAGGATCTAGCTCAAGAGAGGTTGGAATGGGCATTAACGTAAAGCATGGTGATGTGACACAGCATTATGATTTGACACTCACCTTGGCGTCATGTGAGACCTGGTATTGTCTGAACATCAAACCTGCTTCTGCGAATGAAAATAGCGAAATTGATAATACAACCATCAACCATGGGGAAAGTGACAGTGAGGAAGACTTCTGAATATGAAGAAAGACTCCAGACAGTAATCAAGGCCACAAAGCGACTGCAAAATCCAATTCCAGTGTCTGAGGCAGCAGAAGAATTCTAAGTAAACAAGTGAACCCTCTACCAACGAATGAAGAGCACTCACTGGAGCTGCATTGAGTTATACAAGAATCAACAATGCCTTTCAAACTCGGAAGAGGTTGCCATTATCTGCTGTTGTCAGCGACAAGATAATAATGGCTTTCCACCACAGCTTGATATGGTGAAAGATATGGCAATTTTCTTGGAGTGGAAGTGGACAGGTGTGGAGCGATTACCAGTAGGGCAGAATTGGATCAATCGCTTTCTGACCCGGAATCTATCCTTAGCAGCAAAGCTAAGTACACGGCTAGAGCATCAGCGATCATATGTGAAGGACCCTACCCTTTTGCAAGATTATTTCACCAAGTTAGACTGCCTGATATGAGTTCACAATTTGAAAGCCTGTCAAATTTTCAATATGGATGAAAAAGGCTTTGTGATGGAGCTGGCAACACAGACAAAGGTGCTGTGTTGAAGAGGCCATAGGAACCCTCATGTGACTCATGATAGCAAGCAAGAACTTATCACAGTAATTGAGACTATGTGTGTGAGTGGAGCTGCACTTGCTCCATTTGTTATCAATAAGGGCAAAGGTCATTACCTGGGCTGGTACCGCAATCTCACTGACAGGGAACGAGAATATCGCTTTAGCTACTCACCTAAAGGTTGAACTGACAATCTCCTTGCATTGAAGTGGCTGGAGGATTTGTTTGACTTAGAGTCAAGTAGTATAGTGGGTATTGGAGAAACTCAGCTCTTAATTTTTGATGAACATGGATCCCACATTACCTTCTCGTTTATTCAGTTTTGTATCGAGCATGACATCCTTCTTCTTTGCCTACCCTCACATTCTACACATTTATTATAGCCTCTCGACGTGAGGCTCTTTTCACTATACCAACATTTCTATGGACTGGCCGTAGATAAACACCTTCACTCTGGCCAGAGTTTGGAAGGAATAAAAAAGGCTGTTTTTATTCCTTTTTTGACAGAGGCACATGATCATACCATGAGGCCTACAACAATCCAAAGAGCCTTTAGTACAACTGGGATCTGGCCTCTCAATCCCCATCGTGTATTACAATAGGTCGCTCCAGAAAGGCCGAAGCAGCGAGATATGCTTGGACTTAGTAAGAATCCAAGAAATGCTCAGGATATCTGAAATAAGGTTAAGATGGGAAACAGTATACTTGATCTTGGGCTTCTAACTTTAGAGGATAAAACACAGGTAGAAAGGGTGGGTATTAGGGATCAGGTGGTGGGACTTTTACGTGATCTAGGACATCAGTTGGAAGTTGAAATCGCTGAAAAAGATCTCTACCTGGAGACCAACCAACATCTTCAGGGTACAGCAAGCCTCTACAACACTACAGATAAACGACAGCTGTCCGTTGCCCGGGTTCTAGACGGAGCTGAGCTCATCCGCCTTCGTGATGTACGTATTGAGAAGAATGATAAAGAAAAAAAGTGTTGCTTCAATCTACTGAGCCAGACACAAAGTTTCTACCAAACTGTAACATGTTCGCAAGGTGCTAATCACGTTATCGGTAATAGATACGATAGTTGGCAGGTGGCCTGCTCTTCCAGAGAGGAGGCGAGAGCTGAGAACTAAAGGAGGCTTCGAGGGTGTACTGAGGAACAAAGAAGTAACCGTTCAACCAAGTATATTGAAATACTGTCTGTTGAAGTCTGCCTTTTTCTATCGTAGAAACAGGCGGTCTTTAAATACACAAATCTGTTCATGTCTAGCATAAACGAAACTAATCAAAGGTATCAATTGATACTCTTCGGTAAAACTCTTTAAATATCAAAGCGATACTTAAAACAAAACATAAAACAAAACCAATAACTCAGTACCCATACCGGTTACACAAACTACCTCAGAAATCAAAAACAACACAGCCACAGTATTCCTCTCCTCTTACCCCAGATTGGCTGGTTCGAAACGTGGTTATTGCGAATACCCTTATAGTAATGTTCATCAATTCTGTGATGGAAGAAAGTGAGGAAGAAATCTTGAGTGATAGTGATTGGAACTCTCCACTTGGAACTCAGCAAAGACATCCTTTTACCAGTCCATTCCATGCTCAAAAGAGTACTAAACCTGACTGATTCTTACACATGCCCCTTCGCTCCCGGAGGTCATAGTATTTATATTTTTCTTCCTTGTACCTTCTCATAGTACTATGTTCTTCCTCCCCCCCCGCCACCCCTATTTATTTATTTTTGAAGTTTTAATTTTCTTCCCCTAGGCTTTTTTCTTTCATAGTTACATTCTCCTTTCATTTCTTATTCTAAATCTGGTCTTTTCTTCTCAATTAGACTTATATTTCTTGAGGTACAAAGTAATTAAATCAACTCATGCATCGGAACTACTGGTGAAACCCGTATATCAGTTCATGGACCTGTGTCATATTACGATACCATACATTAGCTCATAGGCATTAGACAAAGAAGATGTGGAGAAGGAAGACAATGTGAGGAGATGAGGTAGCTGTGGAAAGAGAAGGAGAAAAGAGGAAAAAATGAGTTTTCAGATACTTATATAAGAAATGGAATAAGAATTGTGTTGAACCAAGGAAGAGGAGAGGAGAGAGAGGGATTTGTTAGGCGGAGATAATCTAATAGACTTCAGAATTGTCTGGGCCAACCAAGATTCGTTTCTGTAGATGGAGATTGTCTAGGAAGGCTCAAATTCACTCATTTTATTTATGACTACTAAGAGTAAAGTAGATTTGGTAAAGTAAGATAGAATTGTAAAAACAATATTATATCATTAAAGTCTCTTCTCTGTTGCTTGATGATGTGTAAAGCTTAGGAGGCACTTCGATATTTATATTCTGCATCTGAGTATTCGTGGATTACATCTATTTATTATACAACTATGTACCTCTTTGATTATAACTTGCAATGTCGGGTATTCTTAAAAGGTGTGAACACCTGGAGACCTTGAAAATTACCACACCCTCTTCAGCAATTACGATATAACTAACTAGGAACCATACTGTTCCCAATATTAGTTATCTGATCATTAGAGTCTTTAGACTTGGCCCCAATTATCTCCGTTATTGATAAAATAATCAGTTTCATCTGCGAGTTGCATCTGCAAAGGTAGTCATAATTGTAATCTTTTTTGGTCACTTGACTTTAAACCTTCATAACTCCTTACTCAACTGATAGATATCTTGCAGCGGACTTCCTACTAATTTGCAGAAAGCTATTCCACTGGATTGATAAATATTCTCTCAGTCGGCAACCCTTGGTTGCTTTAGGTAACTCTGTAAAGTCGTGTATGTAGCCTTCTTAGGTTGCCAACTTCAAAGCTCAATATTTCTTGACCCTACTGATGGATTCTTATCCAGTAACTTCCTCCGTGTAGAGGAGAAGCACTTCTATAGGATAGAAATATAAACCTTTGGTCAGAAGTTCTTGGTTGTTGTGCAGGGAGCCTTGCAGTTGCAAGTAGTATTGGTAGAAAATAACTCATTACCAGAAATAACTTTGACGATAATAGGAGTTGAGAACACGTGACCTTTGGTGAAGAGTCACATGATCTTCCAATTGAGCTATGTAACTGAGATTAATATGTATGATGATGTACGGGCCCCGTAAGGGGGCCAGAGGAGGGTGTTGGAGATTAGGGATTTTGATTCCAGGTGAGGTTACCCTACTTAGGATAATTTCTAGGTATTGGATCCCGGTATTCCTAACAGGATTAGCCAGATAATGACTAGTTGTTTTTATAGTCAAAATCATAGTCTCTTTTTGCCTGTTTTTCCTAATCCTTCTGCTAGGGGTGGAGTTACTGAGAAGTCAATTATTAATATTTATGATCATTATGACTTTCTAGGAATATGGGAGAATATCAGAGAAAAGGCTGGAGAAGAAGAGGTATTTTTTATCATTGACAATGCTAAGACTTACTTGCCTTTTAGGAGATGGCTCAGAGGATAGGAAATTACACTGATGGAAATTCTGGCCTATTTACCAGATCTCAATCCAATTGAAAATATTTGATCTCAGTGAAAGGTAAGCTTCACAAGCACTACCTTGAGCTATATCTTATGAAGGGTGATGTCAATGTGGTCAAGAAGGCAATAGTAGAGGCTATCACTCATTGTTGGGAACTTCTTGACTCAAAGGTTTTTGATACTTTAACTGGATCAATGGTGGATAGAATAGAGGCAATTATTAAGGCTGATGGATGGTATACCAAATATTAATTTCTACTATGTATTTACATCTTTTAATTTTTTTTTTGGTTTTCATGATAGTGGATTGGTGGGTGAGTGTGGTTGTCATCGCTGAAGATTTTCCTCTGTTGAATCGAGGTTAATTTTGTCCACGCACAATAGTTAGACTATCCTTGCAAGGAATGATACTCGTAGGGTGTAAACAATGACCAAGGCAAAATCTAAACTGCAATGACTAAGGTGACTGCTGTTAATGCCGACAATGCTTGAATAGAATAGAATACCGGTACTGTAATAGAACAGTTTGGGCCAGGCCGGGCCCCAGGCTGTCTTCCCCTTGCCTCCGGATTTATCTTGGCATCCTGTCTCAGCGCCGCATCTCGGGAATTTCCTAGGCTTTACGTTAAGTTCGTGCTCCCATGCCTGTTATCCTTCACTGTTGGATCGGGCGGTGAGGAAGTGGATATTCGTGGATTTCGGCATGACCCGTCCGTAATGGCCTAGCCTTTGCTCTTGCGAGAAACTGGATCAGAAACTAGAGGATGAGATGAAATGGACGACGGTGATTGGTTGGGTGGATCGATCGGGGTCACTATCCATTGGGCCAATCGAAGGTGATACTTTTGACCCCCCTTGGAATTTTCTGGGAGGGGTGTGGGGGAGGGGGACTTCGTACCTAGTTTTGGTTTTGCCTACAGTGCTGTGTAGGTCTGGAGCAAGATAGTAGCTGTGATCGGTGCACTTGAATTAATGGCTTTGATGAAGAGTTTATACAGCGCACCTAATGATACTCGAGCACAATGCCGGTGACGGGCGTAGACTTTATTAGAACAGGGGGTGCAGGGCAGGAATCCGTATCCACGCAATAAGCTTAAGCGAGTGTCATCACTTTCTCGGGCCCGGTGTAAGCTCACTGCCATTCCTGCTGGTCCTATCATAAGCGCCAGGCGCCCTACACCGACAAGCTTACTCCCACCCCGAACACGCTGCATACCGGCACTCGAGTATATCCCTCGCAGCAACACCCACCACACCACGTCCAACTAAAAAGCTCCCCCCACTCTGGAACAGTCTCATTAGAGGGCGTCAGTCGCGTCTACCAGCCCAGATCAAAACCCATCCCACACTTGTACAACCACCATGCGGAGGACGCGATACAACCTCACCTATCACTTTCCAACCCGGCAGATCCTGCTTCCTTTCTACCGATCCAGAACCTCGCTTATCGAGCACACCCTCCATCCACCCAATCCGGAAATATTCTGGGAGGATTACGCTCCCCGCACAATCCAATCGGGTTCTTGCTGCTGGGATGCGCAGCTGAGGGTGGTCGGCGAGGCTACTTCGGACAAACCGATGTAGGGGGGAGGGGGAGGGGGGGGGGAAGTGTGCGATGCGTGATGTGTGATAAGGATTGGAAATATAATATGTGGATGTGATGATTTGGAAGGGAAGGTTTGCTAAATTAATGGGGTGGATGATAGTGGAATTGGGATAAGGATTGAGATGGGATGGGCAATGGGGATGTGATGGGATGCTCAATGTTTCGGTTTGAGCTTTCAGCTGATGAGAGATGATGGATGGGTGAATGGGTAGACGCAGAAGAGATGTATGAGACTTCTGTCTCTGTTTCTGGTTAGTGGACGTTTTTGTTCCCGATTCGGCATACAGCCGGTGCTGGCAGGACTTGTGGTGGTGCGTGGGGCAGACTAGGAATGGAAGGGGGGAAATCTTCCTTCAGAGCGTTCAGTACCTGCGTTTCCGGGTGTATTCTCCCTTCTGTTAGACCCTCCGCCTGGGTTCTTGGGTAATTTACGGTACAATAACATGTTTCACCCAGAGCTCAAAAGGATCGTCGCAGGAACTGGCAAAAAAGATGTATTCCTCGGCCAGCCAGCAAGTCACTCGTATCACTGCCACGCCTTGCTTGTCAGAAAACAACCCGCCCCACCCCCCTCCATGGTTTGTGTCTCCCAGGTAAAACCCATATTTTGCCCCTCCCCCCCCCCTTCCTTACCCCCCACCACCGATTCTTTCCCACATCTATCCAATGCCCGTAATACCATAACTGTTTACCCGACCTATTCTCCATGATGACGATGATACACCACACTATGTTCCCCTCATCTCAATCATTCACTCAATCACTCTGCCTCCCTCACTCCTAGTTGGCGCCCGGCCTCTAGTACGCAGTTTCAACCACATCTGATTACTATATCAATAGGTCCTAGACTCGCCAGCCAGTCAGTAAGCAAGTGAGTACGTAAATGAGCCAGTCAGTCAGTAAGTAAGTCTACCCTTCTCTATCCATCCTTCGGAAAAGATTCAAGACAACGCATTGCACGTGGATATGAACTCTCTCTCTCGCTCTCGCTCTTTTTTCTTTTTCTTTTCCATTTCCATTTCTTCATGATAGTAATCACATAACCGCATAGCCCGGCCCTTACCATCATATCTATCATACCCACCACCCTGCAGAATACCTACCAGCCTATGGTGTCCGCACACATATAACAACCTAAACCCAAAACTACCCTATTTGCCTGCCTGCCTACCTGCCTTGGTAGCCTACGAATCATGAAGAGAGGGTGAAAAAAACAAAAAAAGAAGACAAAAAACACAAAAGCAAAGTGTGTGGGAAGGAGCATACTGTATGCGCCGTGCAGTGGGGCTAGTGTTTTTCGCGGAAGGGTGCGGTGCGGCACAGGTAGTAGTGAATCATTCACCCTTCCCTTCTTAGTTTCTGACACCTGCTACTACTACTACTATTACTACTACTACCTCTACCACTGCCATTACTACGCTACTGCTGATGTCACTACCACCATTACTATCGCCACTACAATACGGTACAGTACAGTAAAGGGAGTGTACATATAGCAGCATACAGTAGCTGAATCAAGCTTCCCTACTATCTCTCCCCTGTCTAGCTGTTTCCTTGCGCGTCTATAAGCTTACACTTTTGCTTGCTTGGATTAATTACTGGCTAGCGAAGTTTGCTGGGAGTAGTGGGGTGAATGAGTGAGCGAGTGATGGTGGGCCGGGATGGGTGACAATAGTGACAGTAACATTCTAGGCAGGCACGCAGGAAGGAGGAGCAGGAGGAGCAGGAGGAGCAGAATCATCATCACCACCACCACTAGCGGAGGAAAAAAAGAAACCCTGATAAAGGTGGGGTCTGGACTAAACTAAACTAAACCATTGTTTCGTCTCGGGAGTGGATATCCTTTACGGCTCTCGATTGACGCCGACCAATTCCCCTTCTCTCACAAAATATTTTCGATTTCCAGTTCAGCGTGGCTGGGACGGCGAGGTTGAGTGTGGTCAGGTAGGAAGTGGAAGGAGGGGGGAGAAAGGGCAAGGGCAAGGGCAAGAAGCTAGGTTGGGTTAAACTAGGGTAGAGGTAGAGTATCATAGATTGGATGAAAGGATGATGGGACGAAAGCAGGGGTTGGGGGTGAGGAGGAGGAGGTGGTGGTGGAGGAGGAGGGGAGGGGGGGGAGGGGGGGAATATGAAAGGATCACGAGTGAGTTCCGTACCAAAAGTGAGAAAAAGAGCTCAGCAGTGTAGGAGGAGCACCAGCCGGAGGATAAGGGCAGTAATGGATTAATACGGTACGGGCATCTTCGGATTCCCGCTCATATTCGGAGATGGTGCCAGCGGTAATGGTGGGTTGGAAAATACCTCATCATAGGATCCCACTCGCCTAGATTCGGACACCGAACTGTCGGATATGTTTCTGCTAAAGAAGGGCTGAGGGCTGAGTCCGGAAATAAGTCAGCTATAAATACCCACTCCGTCGTCTCTTCATCCTATATCAATATCAGATAGTTTTCCTTCACATTTCGAAACTATCAAGAGGTTGTATAAGGGTCTCCCGCCATCAGTATTCTGCCTATTGTCGGATATAACCCTTCAGATATCTTCATTCCTCTTTGCCACACTATCCGTTAGAATCCTCCGCCCTTACCCTACACACTCCCTCACACTACTCCCAGAGCATTCCTCCCTCTCACCCTACCACCGCCACCCTCCAGAATGTCGCCCTCCTTCAGATCCCGCGCCTCCAAGCGCGGCCTGAGGGCAAGGTACGAGCTAAACCCAGGCTACAACCCGAACATTGAAAAACTTCGAATCAAAGAATACCCCCAGTTGAAAGGTGAGGGATTTCCACATACCATACACCCACTTCCACCCCATCCCCATTCAGTCCGTCCCATTAGCCATATATATCCCATACTGATATGACACCACTCCCACATGCAGACCAAACCTACCTCGATCACAGTGGCACAACCCTCTACGCAGAATCCCTCCTGACCACCATCTCAGCAGACCTCCGTGAGAACCTGTACGGCAACCCCCACTCGGAGAACCCCAGCTCCAAGCTCTCGGCGAGAAAAGTGACGGCCGTAAGGCTGAAAGTGCTAGCGCTCTTCAAGGCCGACCCGGCCAAGTACGATGTGATCTTCTGCGCCAACACCACCGCGGGGGTGAAGCTGGTGGCCGACTCGTTCACCGGACATGGGCAGGATGGGGGGAAGGGGAAGGGGAACTTCAAGTACAGGTTTCATAAGGACTGCCATACGAGCTTGATCGGGCCGCGGGGGATGGCGGGGTCCGCAGAGTGCTTTTGGGGAGACGAGGAGGTCGAGGCTTGGTTGGACTCTCCGGAGGAGGATGAGGAAGAAGGAGAGGAAGAAGGCAGTCTGGGCCTGTTTGCATGGCCGGGCCAGTCAAACTTCTCCGGTCGCCGCCTGCCCATCCATGCTTGGTCATCCAAGCTCCGCGAGACGCGGGGAGGACGGTACTACTCGCTCTTCGATGCTGCAGCGCTGGTGATGACCTCGCCGCTCGACCTCTCGGACGCGGATGCCTCACCAGACTTCATCGTGTGCAGCTTCTACAAGATGTTCGGCTACCCCGACCTCGGGGCGCTCATCGTGCGGCGGGAGTCGGCGGGCGTGCTACAGCACAGACGCTACTTTGGCGGCGGCACCGTCGGGCAATTGATGGCGTCGATGGACCACGTGAAGCGGATGTACCACAAGGACCCACACGAACATCTCGAGGACGGCACGTGCGCCTTCCACAGTATCATCGCGCTCGGGCACGCCATCGACACGCACAAGAGGCTATACGAATCGTTCGAGAGGATATCCGCGCACACTGCGTCCCTCGCGGCCATGCTGGCCGGCATGCTGGCGGAACTCACGCACCGCAGCACGGGCCGGAAGCTTGTGGAGATATACACCGAGGAGAAGTACGGCGACCCGAAGCGGCAGGGACCCGTGGTCACCTTCAATCTCTGCGACTCCCGCGGCGAGCCCATCAGTTACCTAGCCGTGGAGGCCGCCGCCAGCGCGAGGAATATACACGTGCGCTCCGGCGGACACTGCAATCCTGGCGGCGTGCAGCAGTACTGTCGCCTCAGCAAGGAGAAAATGATGAGCTTCTTCCACTCGGGGAAGATGTGCGGGGACAACCGGGACGTGATTGACGGGAAGCACGTCGGGGCCCTCAGGGCTTCGCTAGGTGCCATGTCCACGCTCGAGGATGTGGTCACCTTCGTCGACTTTGTGCGTGAGGAGTACGTTAGCAAGCCACTTTCGCTCGAGGAGAAGCGCCGCATCCTGCTGCAGGAAAGGAAGAAGGACGTCGAGGAGGTCAAGCGCGTTATGAAGAAGTATGGCACTGTGTTCTCCAGCAGCCGCACTGGGAAGACGCTTCTGTGCTTCTGGACGGATTCTGTCAATTTGGATGAGGCGTTGCCCATGAATACGAGGCTGGCTTCTAATTCTCTGAGCGTATCCTAAGAACCTTTTTACGGGTGGCTATAATCTGGCTGGTCTCTTGAAACTTTTCACTCTAACCTACAAGTACCGGGATTTCTTTTCTTTTCGGTAGGGGTAATACATATTGTATTTTCTTTCTTTTTTTCTTTCTTCTGTTCTTATTCTTAGGTGTACCTCTTTTTTTCTTTCTGTCTTGTCTTTTTTGTTTTTTTGTAGATAACTGTTTCTTTCACATGCTATGTCTTGCTGTTAAGGGTTATCATTATCGTAACGTTCCTCAGTCGCCCTCCCTAAAAAAAAAAAAACTACTAGGGTAGTCCAATAGCCGCTATGGCGCGTGGATTTTCCCGAGTGACCCTTGGTGACCGGATGATAATTCCCCAATCATTAGCTACCGCTCCAGCGAACCCTCCCTCCTCAAGGGGGAAAAATGTTACGGTATCATAACGTCGCCCCAAAGTGTCCGCATATTCCTGCTTTTTTCCATAGCCCCGGAGAGTCATTTCAAGAGCCTCTATAATAGGATAAATGAATGATATCGATTCGGTAGGGTGGATTCTCCACTTCATTGGCTCTTTGCGCCCTTGCTACTGACCCACCGAGACCTACGATATTCGAGTACGGAGTGTGCAAGCACGAGTAGCTGTTGACATTCCCGCCCCCACGGCCCACCAACCAAACAAACGGGAGGATTTATTTCACAGGTCTTGGTTAGTCCCCCACCTTGACCTGTCCCAAGAACAGGTCGCATCAATGACCTTTCCGTGCTCACCTCAGCCACCTCCACAACCAGAGCATCCGCTCCTGTAACCGACGGTACCCGTTTCTCCGCATCGCCCACACCTCGCAGCTGCGCCCCGATAGTACCGTAGGTTCAACAAGGTTCTCCATTACTCCCAAGATACAGTGCCGTAAACTAGCCAGACTGGATAGCTAAATATTTGTGCCTATTTGACCACCGGTATATCCCCGCTAACGAAAATATTATAGTCCTGCCCCCTAGCTGAACTATCGTACATATCAGTTATCTAACTACAACGGCCTTGATCAACAGTCTGCCACTCCCAACTGTAGGAAAACATTACATCCTGCATTGCAAACGAAGAAATAGGAGACAAGCCTAATGAAAACGCCAAACCCATGCATCAGAGGCCCCGATTAAGAGTCAAGTATAGTAAAAGATTCCTTGGATCCCGGCGTCGGCGAGCTGGCCGAATTAGATCCACGACCGATGGTCAGTTACTGACACCGCGGCCAAAATCACATTTTTTTTTCTTCCCCGTGCTCTAAAATTAATGCCATGTTAAATGCCTGGGAACACGTTCTCAGCCATCCATATCGCTCTTGAACTCGTCGGAGTTGTCTTTCTCCTCATACTTAGCGCGTTCGCTCTTCTGGCCGAACCCACTCCCCTCCCTCATCGTTGCTTCTTCATCCCCGTTCTCCTTCTCTCTTGATAATTGCTCCTCTAGCCGCTTGCTAAATTCAAGAACCGCTTCGTCCACAAGGAAAGCCTTCTCCAAATTCCTTCCGCCACCCAGAATTTGCATTCCTTCAGGGCTCTTGCAACGACTGAGTCCTACGTACGCTTGCCCGGGAGCAAATGAGTGGCCAACATCAACAGCAACGTAGTCGAGGGTTGTGCCCTGACTCTTGTGCACCGTTGTAGCCCATGCTAGACCGAGCGGAATTTGGATCCTACTCAGTTCCACCATATCTCGACCACCATCAGACATCGAACCGTAGAACTGTGGGATTTCCGTATTCCAAGATACGGGTAAGATGGGGATCGGTTTGGTATGCGAAGCAAAGCGTACAAGCGGAATCCGCACTCTCCCGTCTTGTTGCTTGAACTCAAAGTACTTCTTCAGCATGGGACGCTCGAAATCGCGGGCGACACGGCCGGACGTGAAGGTATTGAAGTTCATGTGCTGAAAACCGCTAATAACACCCCGGGAGCCATTGACTAGGCATTCGTTTTGTGCGATATTAAAGAGCAACATGACCTGGGCACCGTGCTTGAGTTTAATCTCCTTTTGAACCTGAAGGTTTTTAAAAAAGTCTGAATAGAATTAGCGGTCGACTAGAATTAGGTATCAACGGGGAATTACTGAATTCGCTAAGCTCTTGAGAGTTATATGTTTTCCGGTACCTAGCATTTTTGATGGTGCCTTCATCAATGGCATCAAAATAGTACTCGGTGGCCTTCAGCTTCTTAAATTCTTGCTCATTTTCATCGACCACTGTATTCCTGTGCGTATAAAGCCTTGTAGGTTTAACGCCACTTGCTAGCTCACCCAGAGGCCGCCGAAGGCCTAACAGGCAAGTCATTATCTCTGGAGTCACATGGCCAACCTTCAATTTCCCAAGCATGTCTAACCAAACCTTGTCCTGCTGTCGGAAGACCTTCGTAAGAATGATCGACTTAAATCCTATTTTGAACCAGGTTGGGGTCTGGAAACAGTACTTCACAGTCTCATTCCAGAGATGGCTACACATTCTTCCACTGCGGTCGGCTCTAGAGCAGTGGGACCATCGGGAAGAATCGACTCGAAAAGCATGGATTTCGTCCAGGAACTCGACGCTCGTTCTAATGTAATCGTGATTGGGTGGCAGATAGGAGCGTTCCTCGCGAGGTGTGATAGGGTACCCTAGTAATTCCAATCAGTCCTGCATTTGGATTTAGTAAGAGATTTATATATACCGCATTGATAGCATGTCTTATCCGAATCCTTTTCGACTGGGGGAAGCTGAAAGAAATCCCCACACACAACGAGCTGCATGCCACCGAAGGGAGCTTTCACAGGACACCCATTATCGCCCCTTGCATGTTGGCCTATCACGCTCAGTTTCTCAAAGAGATCTGGAGATAGCTGCGAGTACCGTACTTAGCAAATTGGCCCTCGTCTACCTGGTAGGATAATCGGGACTTACCATGGAGATTTCATCGATGATTAAAACCTGTGTCTCTTTCCAAGGTGCCTCCCTCGACTTGGCGGGCTTACCCTGCGACCTGGCCTCGGGATGCCTGACGGTGCTTTTTGACTTGTTTATATAATAAACTATTGATTTGTCCCCTTTCCCAACCCTGCTCCATGAGTGGATAGTTTGACCACCAATGAGTACCGAGGCAATCCCGGTTGGAGCAGTTATAGCATAAGTTTTCTCTATGCTATCAAGATAATTCTTAATATGTTTCAAAATTAGTGATTTGCCGGAGCCTGCCGGGCCCGTAAAAAACACATTATGCCCCTGCTCCACTAGGGAGAGAACACACTTTTGATCACGGTCGAGACGGGGTAAAGCTTCAGGACTCGGTTTTGGAGTGAAGGAGGAGGGGGTGTTTAAGGGGGTAGAGACGTAGGAAGGCGCGCCAGCCCCATTACCGCCATAGGCGCTCAAACGAGCAGGTAGGGCGTCCAGGTCCGGGTAATTCACCCTTAACCCGGTATCATCTTGAGAGAACTGCGGACAACTGCTACCGCGCTGCTCCCCGGTTCCCGACTCATCTTCATCAGTATCAGGGTATTCCATCCGTAACCGAGCATTCTCTTCGCGGATCTCCTTGTCACGTTGCTCATAGATCCAAGACTCTGCTTCGGCGTGCGAGGTAAAGCCCTTGAAGATTGGTTCGGAAAATCCTTCAACCTGTAATCTGGTTTCGTTCCTGTCACCTGCAAATTAGCCACAAAAGGATCGCCGGTGGAATGTAGAAAAAGGCCACCAATCGTCAAAAATTCCGGCATTTCGGCCTCTGTATACTGCATAGAATTTTTGCTTTTGACGCTTCCCCTTAGCAGAACCCCGTGGCATTTTTTCGGGTGAAGGAGTGAGGTTTTGGGAGAGTAGTCGTTTAAGAGAATTGAATGATATATATTCGTGACAGCGAGTTCGGTAAGGTGAAGGAATAGCTATATCGTGGGGTGTTTCAAAAGTAAACAGAAGATCCAAGAGTGAGGAGGTTGTTAGGGTTGGAGGGAAGCTGCTGGAGAAGGCACACGGCCAACATACACCGCCAAGCATTGTGAGGCTCCTGGCTTGCCGTATTACCCTAACCCTCCTACTCTCATGGCGCACTGTCAGCCTGAATTGAAGTATCATACCACAGAGGTAGATTATGGTAGGGTAAGGTACTCGTACAGCACGCACCAGGAAGCCATCAATCGATCGCTGGCACGGGTGTTACACTGCCAGGCTCCAGGAATCGGATTCCCTCCCTTGCCTGATAGGCCAAAGGGGTGGGCGCCCCCCAATGCGTAGAGGAGATGCTGCGGTGTAAAATAGTATAGGTACGGCAATACTACTTAGGAGCGGGCGAGGGTTAGGCATTCCTGATGGAGCATTAGAAATACACACGTACCTTTGATGCTCGGGCGGGTTGCCTTTATCAGGGGAGTCATATGGATGAGACGGCCAGGCAGGTTTTGCTATTTGCGCATGCTAAGGTCAGCGGAGCCTGTCGATGTCTATATTCGTTATCCGAGACTTGGTACGGCTTGATAATAAGTATGGGCGGCTGAAAAGGCAGCCAAACTTGCGCTTATGGAGATCCGTCAATAATGATACCGAACGATAGGAGGGGGAGGGGTTTTCGTTGAGTATGTAACAATGCGATTTGCACCATCTTGTCCCCCCCTCCAGACAGTCTCAGCAAATGTGCGAGAAGAAAAACTCTGGGGAAGGAAGCGGGGTATGCTAGGTAAATTATGATTTGGAGGGGCAGCTTTGTTTATTTTGGAGTTGACAAGCATCCCCGATGTATGAAGAATTGTTTGCCAAGGAAGCTCGAATCTTCCGGTTGTCAATCCTGTTAGCCCCATGACCCAACATACCCGTACTTACAGTGCACTAGGGTATCATACTAGGAGAGTGACAGGCAGAGTGCTAAGAGAATTGCTAGACTATCATAATCGAAGTAGAAGTACCTGCGCCTGGTGTTTGGAGACAACCCGTCTTTCCGCAACACAGTCCAGTACAATCCCTCGCTCTGTTCAATGCTGCAGACCACAGCGCACCTAGGAGGACCATTCAGGTAGTCTACCGACGGGAGATGCCAATCCTTTAAACAACCCGTACCGTAGTGCTGTGCGGTTTGTACAGGTATGATACCCCTTTTATTGTTGTCTGTGGTTGTATACCAAGTTCAACAATATTAGATTTGAATACGATGCTGCCAACTTTCACTATCGATATTAGAAGGTGCTCAACGGCGCATGCTCTCTGTCCCTCGGCGATACCCTATCTCACAGACCATCTGAACGCTCAATAGTCTTTCAGCTGGTGTGCTTATCTGAGATGGAAAAGTCCACGATGGAAGGGGGGAACTCAATTCTCCTCAAGCGCAGGTCGTTGTTATATGAATCACAATACTACAACTGAGGGCCGATTCTGTTTGTTGGGCGGATGAATGGGTTGAGTTTACAATTGGTGGGCATTCGGAAGCAGAAAAGAAGAGACACAGCCAAAGGGCGGCGCATGACGCAGGGTCTCATTCTCTCCCTGTCCATCGACGTCACATTAAACACTCCTGGGTTGAAAATTGGTTGGAATTTGTGTGGATCATGGGTGGATGGAGATGGACGGCTGCTTCTTGTTATCCCCGGACGCAGAGGTTACCGTACTGTGTGATGGATGCAACAACGATTGGGGAAAAGAAAAAGAAAAAGAAAAAAAGACTCCTCCGTCGCCTTTTCCCCAACAAAGTATCGGATTTTTTGGTGCCCGAATAGATTCAAACCCCTGCCTCTCGTATCCCCCACCTTCCGTCCTAAAAACCTAGTTCGGACTACGGCTATTGAACCATGCCCTTGGAGCTCGTCTCGTGCTCTTCCCTCCTATGATACCAACATCCCCCCCCTTCTTTGCTGCGCACACCACCTCCACCAAACTGAAAACCTTTACCCACATTACTATTTCTTTGCCTTTCTTCTCTCATCTCCAGATACCTCCTCCTCCCCAACCCATTTCTGCATCGATAAGCCAAACTCGATCGCTAGCCAATTCAACCATGGCACCATCTGCGAATGCTACCCCACCGCCATCTGTCTGCCCACAGCCTCCAACTCTCACTCTCCCTACAACTGGTTCTCAACATCCTCTCTTCCTCTATGGCACCGCCTGGAAATCTACCTCAACAACTGACCTCGTATCTGCCGCTCTTTCGGCTGGCTTCCGGGGCCTTGACACCGCAAACCAGCCAAAGCACTACCGCGAAGATCTTATAAGGCCAGCGCTAGCCCTCTTCCCACGTAACTCCCTCTTCATCCAAACCAAATTCTCCTCACCGGCCGGTCAGGACCCCGCAACAATCCCTTACGACCCCACTGCCCCGCTTCAAAAACAGGTCCGTGCGTCAGTGGAACATTCTTTAGAGAATCTGGGTGTGGAATGTCTTGATGCGCTGCTTCTGCGCTCCCCACTACGTACCTTAGAGGCGACCATATCCGCATGGAAGGTGTTGGAAGGTTTCGTTGCTGCCGGGAAGATAAAGCATATTGGGATCAGCAACTGTTCACTGCCGATTCTCGCCGCGCTCTATTCCAGTCCAGTGATTTCGGTCCCACCCTCAATTGTGCAGAATAGATTTTACGAGGATACCGGGTATGACCTTTCGTTGCTGGAGTTTTGCCGGGAGCACGGTATCGTCTACCAGAGTTTCTGGACACTCACTGCGAATCCTGGGATCGTCAGGAGTGAGATTGTCAGAAAGGTTGCTGCGGGGAGAGGCTGGACGAGGGAACAGGCAATGTACGCTCTTGTGTTGGCGTTGGGTAGGGGATGGGAGGCTGGCGGTGGTGTGTGCGTTTTGAATGGGACAACGAATGCGGAGAGGATGAAAGCGGATTTGGAAATTGTTGGAGAAATCGATGGAATCAAGGAAAGTGATGTGGAGGAATTTAGGGACCTACTCAAGACGGCGTACAGATGAAGGGTTGGTGATTGAGAAATTGAAAATATGTATTTTTAATTTGTTCTTATCATATATACTCGCTAGTATTCCTTGTCTGGAGCTAGTTGTTGTTTTTTTCAGCCATCCCACCCCCTGTCCTTTCCACCTTGTCGAGATTGCCTTACGAACCAGAGTTTACTTGTTCTAACGCACATCTACCTCACGCTTGTCACCGTATGTTATTCAATCTATCCAAGAGACCATTCGTAAAATTGTGGTTCTGCGGCACAAACTCCATCTGCATCTCCATGTAATCGCATAAACTCACTAGTAGTTGTATAAATAAGCACTGTGGAGAGACTCGAAAAGGAAATAATAATTCTAGTATTAAAAGGTACCATCGCGACTCCACTCCAACAAAGCTCAGGAAATGACAGAAAATCTAGGTGGTCACAACGCCTCACTCGTTGGTCACGTGAAGAAGATGGATGAAACTCGAATGTATCATAAGTTACTTAAATAATATGCGCAGAACATCGAAGTCGTAACGGCTTTGAGTAGGGGGTGCTCTCGACAAACGGTTCACTACTCCACTACTCGAGTAGAGCGCCATTCGCAAATAATAGAGCCAATAGCCGAATGTCCAGCGACAAATTAAACCTCACTCTCCGCCTCCCTTTCCCTCTTCTCTCACAACCCCATCACCCACATTATTGTCATCGTTATCGCCATTGTCACCACCCTTCCCTTTATCCTTCTCCACACTGCTTATGGTCCCGCCCCCCTTCTTCTGCCCCTCAATCATCCCAACAATCCACCCTCTCTGCTCCCTCAACATGCGAATCTCCGCTTCCAACACGGCAATTCTCTCCTGTATTCCCTCATCCATCTCCTCATCCTCCTCCCTGTATCTACGCTTTGCAGCAGAAGAGATGGTTTCTTGAGCGTAGTGGGGGCTCGAGGCGGCCTGTGTGAGTTGGGGGAGGGTTGACAGCCTAGCAGTGTTTTTCGTGGGGGATGGGGTGCTGATCTTGTGCTGGCCGATGATACTTGGAGTGGTGGCGCGGGCTGTGCCGTGGCCTCTGGTCACCGGAGTAGGCGTGCTCTCGGTACTGGTGGTGGTGAGGGTGGTCGGGTTGCGCAAGCGGGAACGAGTGCGCGGAGTTATGAACGGACTGACAAATGGGGGTTCGGAGTGGTGCGGGAACGGGGAGTTTATGATTGAGCTGTCCATTTTGGTGATAGAGCTTTTTTTTGTGGATGTGGGTGTGATTGTGTAGCCTTTGTGGTGGATGGGCGAAGGAAACCAGAGGTGTAGTTTGTTGAAGGTTGGTGATCGTTTGCTCACTTCTTTTCTTTCCCGCTCAGAGTTTTCAAAGTCCAGGCCCAGACCCCTAGACCCTCACCTGAAAAATACTGTAGACTATGTTGTGTTTACAATTCTTTCATGTTTTTTGTTCTGCCCTAGCAAATGTTGTGTCTGCAAGGAGTTTGCACGGTTCTCTCACTCATACCGAGTGAGTATTCATGATGATTCCGAGACATGCTTGCTCTTCTAGCCCTTTCACTCGCGGTGTCACTTACAAGTGTGATGCTCTCCCCAACTCCCGATAGTCTGGGGATTGATGGGCTGACTTGAAACCACTTCCCCTACTTGTCCCAGGGAATAAGTGCCCGGAAATGGGGTTTGTGAATTCATCTCATATACTCACTGGTTTTTTTTTGCTATAATATATTTTGCAAATCCCACTTTCTGTGCTTATTGCCCGGGAAAGGTGCCCCTCCAAATCACTGTCGAGCTCGAAACCAATCACTTATTGGTTCTTGGTGGGAATATTGCCTATTAGGATTAAACATTGGCAGTTTCATAACCCCGCTGTGTATCTCCGGTTGATCAGGATAGCTGTGCTAGGAATTTCCGCACTTGTATGATATAGATCACCACAGTGGAATGAATGGATTAGGTCGGGGAACGCCCAAGTTTTAATTTCTACAATCTTCTATAATTTGCAGTACAGTACTGTACATTTGGAGTCTCAAACCCAGTTCAATTTCCCTCTTTACCATACCGCTCCGCCCCCCACCCCACACCCCTCACCCACACTAAGTTTATCGATAAGAAATCGGGGTAGAGGGAGTATGAAAAAATGAAAAAATGAAAAAATGAAAAAAAAAACTACATTCCAGGATTACCAGATCCCCCCCTCCCAAGCAAGACAACCACTGTTTAGTATGTTTCGGAGTCATCATAACATTCCCCGCTCGCTACGGTAACCGTGACAGCTGGTGCAGTAACGGTAACAGGCATGGTTACTGTGACAGGAGGCTGAGTTACGGTCACAGCCGGTTGGGTGACTGTTCTTGTCTCGGCGGCAGACGTGGCTCCCGAGCACTGTGGGAGTGGGACTGGGTCAGTGGCACCTGGCGGAACGCCGGTTGAGGGTTGCGGGGATTTTGAAGTTGTATTGGGTTTTTGGGATGGCTCGGGGATTGAGGTAGGAATTTGGCCGGGGATTGAGGTGGGAATTTGGCTGGGGATCGAGGTGGGAATTTGACGGGGGATGCTCGTTGTTGGTGGGCGAATTACTCCAGTGCCCTGGCAAAGGAAGTTAGGTTAATCGGATGCTATAGAGAAATTGGCAAAGAGGGAGAAGCCTACAGTTGGGTAAACACCACCCCTGGTACCCGTGCCAATAAAGATTCCTGTTCCGGCACCGTAGGTCGGAATTCCCTAAGGTGGTCTTTGTCAGCCAAAAGTTGGTGCCCATGATTTAAGCGGGGCGCTCACAGTCCCGGAAACTATCCCAGTACCCGTGCCCGCCAGCACAGACGTTCCTGTCCCAACGGCTCCTGTCCCAATGGGTCCCGTTCCGGTACCAGTCGGCCTTCCGGTCGTCCCGGCACTCGGAACGACTCCTTGAGTTCCCGAGGGCTTGTACTCTGGAAACACCGCTCTGTTGTTATGGCGATGGGCCTCAAAACTGCTGGCGAAGCGACCGACGAGGCGGTCCCAGATTGCTTCTGGCTGAGTTTCGGGGACTATACTAATTATTAGCCACTGTCCCTTTAGCAGAGGGGAGGGGGGGGGGGTATATCATACTAGCACGCCCGTGAACAGCAATGACAGCGTTAAGAGCAAGGAGAGATGCGAGTGTGAGCTTCATTTTTTATAATATTGTCGTTGGATCTTGCTTGCTTTGAGTGATTGTCGGGCTTGGTAATTGAAGTAAGGAATGTGATTTGATATGGGAGGAATTGAAGAGGCAAAATGCTAGACCACCCGGGTCAAAGAGTGAATGGATAATTTGAAATGGAAGAAAAGAATGTAAAAAGGTTGGTATCAAACCTTGGCTGCTTGCGCCTAGTTGGAGATTGGAAGACTGTACTGTAAAGAGTGTGGGTAGGAGAGGGTGGTGTGGAGTGGTGAGAAGGAAAGGTCTCGGATGGGGGAGTGCCATAGGGTTTATATAAAAATTTAACGTATGATATGATATTGGCGTTTTCGGGCTACCGGTGGGGGATTGTTTGGCGCTTTGGATTTGTCAGGTTTGGATTCGTGGCACCGAGAATAGGATGGATGGAAGGAAAGGCAAGTCAGATGCCCCTGCAGGTGTACTCGAGTACCGGTGATGGGTCGACTCAATACAGAGTGGAGTGTGAAGGATGAAGGATGAACACTGTAAGGCGCTTGGATCTAGTCTGCTGAATGGTATGATACTGCAGTATAGTGCAGTCAGTACTGTGCTGTAAACCGCAACTAAACAGTAGGTAAACCGCCCCCACCTCCGTGTCCCAGTAATATCAATGCCCTGTAATAGAATAACTGATATGCAATCCATCACCCTTTCATTAATCTAGCTAGCGTCATATAATACAATATGACCCGCCTAAAGTTGGCACATCGCAATGGTGCGCTTGAACATTCGCAAACTACAGTACCGGTACCAGTCCTCCTCGCCTGTCCGCTCGCGTCGGGGTGGGGGGCACTGACGGAGGTAAATGAAGAATCCACTGCAATAAGTGTATCAAATTTACCAGGTCCAGTCAACCAGCTCGCCGGGAAACTGGGAAAATTGGTCAGCGGCGGTTAGCCTATCATCCTTCCCTCGATAAGGCATTGCACCGATTGGTATCGAGGACGAGATCCCTTATTAGCTTACGCCAAGACAATCCTTCATTAAATTTCGCAGTCATCTGTGGCTTGGTTAGATGTGGTGGAGTATTCTAGCAGAGTGCGAGGCTGAGGCATCTTAGCAATCGTTCTGATCGGGAACCATAGCCGCCCATTCTTCATAAGATTGTCCGGTACTCGTACTGTACGCTGCTGCCGGTTGATGATTTCGCTTGCTCCTCCTGAAGTGGCGTGAGCGTGGGGCGGTGGTTTATGCACTGTACAGTACTCGTACGAGCACTGTCATTACAGTATCTTGCGGCTCCGGGTTCAAGTATGATACTAAATGAGATATCTGTAAGATGGCATTGAGTGGTGTCCTGTACGATCACAGTACCTGATCGCCACAGGGACTCTTTACTACATACCTGGTCAGTGAACTATCATAGAATAAATTTATTGAAATTCGTGAAGCACATCTCGTAAGCACTGTTCCTGTCCTGTCCTCCACGATCTTGGCACCGGAAGTCGCGAGTGCCGTAGCAAAACCGCTCGGCTGAGCTCCCACCAGCGCAGTCATCCATCTGTCTTCAACCCACTATGGACCACCCGCTCTGGATGCTAAGGATATAATTCTGCTGGAGGCCTGTATATTGGGAGTGCTGCCCTTTAGCATGGAACGAAAAGTGTCTTGATTAGTCAAAGGGAAAGATGTGTACCGGTATTCCTCCACACCGGGGACCAAGTTCGTTGCGGGACTTCGGTCCTATTTGGGAGGGTGTGGCATATTCTTAAGCAATGCATTGAAGTGCAGGACAGCCTGCCCAGGTAGAAATGGGTCAGACTGTGCAACCGCAATGGGATAAATTAGAACCCACTTATTGGAATCTGCTTATTCACACTACTGGTATGCCCGATAAACTCCAGGAACGCGGAGATTAAAGTGGCTCGAGGGCATGGTGTTGATTAATGTGCTACCGGTATCTCTTCTCCCTCTTGCACGAGTACTTTCCTGTGCTGTCTTGGCGAGCGAGTTCCCCTGCTCGCCATCACCCACATCTTCCCTCCGATCTCATACTGTACGATAGTCCGAGCTCGTCCAGAAAAACAAAACTCCCATAACATCCCCCACATCTTCGGAGTGTAGTCTCTAAATGCGGTGCTACGCGTGGGCGCCTCTGTCGTGCTGTGCCGTGCACGGCCATGATATTAGCCTAGAATATTGGTATTCCAAGCGGACAGACACCCACCCACAGCTTGCACTATACTCGAGTATTGAAGGTACTGTACAACGCGGGGAAGTTAATACGATGGTGCTCGAGTATCTTGGATCGCGAGGGGAATACAAGTACCGGTACTATTATAGGTGGCTACGTGGTACAATACTTACGATGGATCGTCGGTGGTACTACTGTAGACTGGTTTTACATTACGAGTAGCTCACTGTACCTTGACGTACAGAGGGTTTTCCGAACATAGTGCCGTACCGGTATTTCTTATCTCTGTATCAAGAACACCACGAAGCTGTTCTCAGTATCCAATCTCTAAAATACGCACAGGAAATTGTAGGGTTGATGAAACTCCTGCCCTGCGTACCTACAGTACGGTAATCAATAAAGGACTACTCGCACTATGCTCTACTAATCGTGCTTCCTAACCGCCGGCATGAGAGTGCCCGCTTGCCGGAGGGAGTGTGGAGTTGTGCATCAAATTTTGAAGCTTTTATTTGCGCTGTATCGGAATAATGGAACTCTATCGCATTGCGCAGTTGGATTATCCCGACATCCCGTTTAAGTCTGCTTTGCTTGTATTATGACCAACACTGTACTATGCCTACAGTGCAAGCACTTGTGATAGGTTGTGATGTACAAGTACTGTACAGCCCACGACTATCTGCCTTACTGTAGTTCAACTTTGTCACACGGTTTACCATACGAAGCCTAAAATAAAATAAACCGCTACAAAAATAAGTGCTTCTCTGTAAAACAAAATATCGGGATCATGCATGAAAGAAACCCCCTCTCTTTTTCCCTCCCTTGCTTCCTGAAATATTACCGGTACTGCCCACTCACCCACTCCTTCAAAATTTACGCTACCGCGGGGGAATTATCCGACGGGGTTGTAGAGCTCTTGGGAGGCGTTGCTATCCCCGTATCGTAAATGAAAGCTTGTATCATATGATGCTGTTTGAATTCCGGCTGTTGCGGCTATTGATTGCCGTGGCGTTCTGGTGTCAGAGCGCGCGGGAGCACAGTGGTCCGAGTGATACCCCGACTATCAGTCTGTCCCTCTCATATCCCCGGAAGTCCTCCGTTTCGTCCCCGCAAATTCGTGCTTATCGAGGCCACGAAGCTCGGCTTCCCCAAAGGGTCGCAGCTGAAGGCCTGGAAGGTGGTTCATCGCCAACAAGATAATTGCCGACACGGAGAATGAGTAGCTGGCTATGGCTAGTATGTCTACTAACTGTTTGGCTACTTGAACTCCGTTTCCGTCAAATAACCCCAGGTGCTGAAGTCATGCTGTCCGACAGGCTGATTTAAACACCCCGTAGATATATAAGCCAGAAGTCCCCAGGTGTGAGAAAGGGAGGATGGGGTATATTTCCTGATTCGCTCGCGAGAATCCCTGGTAGGAAAACTAGGAAAGCACCGACTGCGCCCCCGATTCCATAGAGCTTGGATACATCCATCCCTTCGTCTATATACAAATCCAGATGTTAATTTCCTCTCAGAGGGAGCAGACGACTGCCGTGATGAAGGCGATCGAAGCTTTATATTAGGTTAACGAATAGAATCTGTGGCAAATGGATGAGTATGCTTCCGGATGCCTACCCGCAAACCAAACGGCAACATACCCAGCTGCTGGCGTAATTCCGACAAGTCCTACAAATTGTGAGTCTGGAATCCAAAGATTTACCGTTGACCAGAATAGTCGAAATACCTGCGATGGCTCCTTCACAAGCACCCGCGACAGAGAATTTTTCCTTCTTTCTGAAGTAACCGGCGGTAACCCATCCAATGATACCGCAACTTGGATCACATGTCAGCAAACTTCCGGTGAGGGAGTGAGAGTAGGTAAGATACTATACTCCCGACTTACATTACGAGTAGTGTTAAACATTGCCTACATAGGTCTAATCGTGGCATTTAAGGCACCTCCTCCATTGAAGCATAGCCACCCAAACCATGTTCCCAGAAAGACCATTGCTACATTATCAAGTGTTTGTCTATGCTCTTTTCTTTGGTAGCCTTGGCGCTTCCCAAGAACTAGAGCATAGGTTAATGCTGAGAAACCAGAAGCGACATGCACCGGGCCCTCACCAGCGTAGTCCACTGCGCATCAGGGTCAATCACTCGAATTTTAAAGGTACTTGAGTGAAAGGGGTACTTACGCAAGCGAGTGGGCAGTACCGGTGGACAGCATTTGCCCAGGCAAACCCAAATAGCAAGCTTGGCAGAAGACTCCCGCCCTCGAGGGCACCACCAATCATAATTTGTACAGTGACAACACAGAAAAAAACAACTATCAAATCGCCCTGTATCAGCAACAGCGCCATGATGTAAGGGGGAATAAGGTCAAATTACCTGGAAAAGGGCGAACGAAATCTCTGGGATATAACCTGAACCGAGAGACGGGGCAGCTGCAACATTCTCAGCACAATATTTTCAAAGTCCCCTATGAACTTCTCCGGGTTCGGGAGTAGGCAAGTGAATACCCAATCCACCACCTGACTTGTCAGTGGAAATTTCCGCGAATCCGCCAGGAAAGATCACTAACCATTGGAAAGATATCACCGCCGAGACTGAAAACGACTGCCAAAGGAGCCCTAGCGAAGCGTGCTTTCGGGCTAAACCTGCATAAAGAAAACCGATACCAGGAATTATCGGCCAGACAACTACTGTACATGCCTAAATCACTTGTTAAATAACAGGGTAAAGATTGAGGGAGCAGATACTATACCATAATCCATACCGCATGATGGCCAACCACTTGGTATCGCTAATATCGTCTAAAGTTCTCGGGTCTCCACCGGTGAGTAGTAGAGACTCGTTTAGCACTGGCTATATTCCGTCGTCAGCACTGGTGCCAGAGCATTGACCTTCACCGAGAGATCTAGATATCCGGAACACACCATGTTCATCCCGACGGAGTCATATCTTAAGCGCAATTTAGGTGCTAGATGGGAAGAAACAGAATACTGTGATGCTGCTCCTGTGCTGTAGTGTTGTCCCTACGATTCAAGAAGCAAGCAAGCAAAGCGGCCTCCTGGGAATCGAAGCCTGGGAGAACTCAGTCATTTATTCATAGCTACTGGAATTGGATAGAAGCACAATCCGGCTCCACTCCACGTTCCTATCACCACATTCTCACCCAGCTTTTACTTTCTATGTGGGAGCCCTCCCTTCATGGTGTCTAAATTGCTCTCTCCCGGGCACTTCGTCCAGGTACTGCAGGTAGCCGGAATACCACACGTTCGGGGGTTAAGCAGGGGTTGGGTTTGCGCATTAGTGGATCCTCATTTTTTCAAAACCCTTCCGCTGATGCCCTCGACACACGGGCTTGGATACCACCAGAGGCTAGTGGCAAACACTTGTCCATCCTTCTCTCCACTGCGTTGCGTGTCAGTTTTTCACCCTTAATTGCTACCATTTACACTTGCCACTTATGAGCAGTTGATTAGGAATTGTATTCCGCGAAACAAGAAGTGAAATATGGTAGCATAAGTACTCCCGATAGTTCGCTCCTTCTACCCGATTGTGCAACAGCTTGGCTTGCTGGCGGAGGTTATCCAAGGCATAGTCAAGCTCTCGAGCGCTCGTCTTGGCCATAGCACTTATACTCATAGCCTAGTTTACGACAAATGATACCTATGCGATACCTAGACTGGCACAGGATAACGATTCTGGAAAAAGCGTAGAATTTAGCCATAAAGTTATCACCTTGGAAACTATCTGGCATGGGAAGCATATGGTATTATATCATATCAAGCAATCCTTCCGAGCAAAGATGCGAAGCAACCTAGGTGACACTAGGCCCCAAACCCAGAACACTGGGTCATGAGGTCGCGTCAAACTGGTCTGCGGTTTCTTCAAACATCGCAAGAAGGATGAAGTAATACCCTGAAGTTGATTGACTGCTTACGTGACCCAAGCCTTGATTATCATGAGGCCTTGATCGATCGAATATAGGGACTACAGGAAACACCAGATCTAGGCCGAAAATTAGTCATCAATGAAGGAATGAAAGAACATTCCTGAGTGTAACTCGCAACTCAGAAATATTGTGTCTGCTATCGCAAAATCCCAAGCAATTCCGGGTGATATATCGTTCGAGTTGCCTTCTCTGGTAAGGTCTGGAATGTTGTTTGTTTTGTTTTTTTAACTTTCAGGGGGCTGAACGGCACACCTTTTTTTTTTTTTGCTATTTCCTTGCCCCTTTTCCATAGAAGGAAAATTTGGACCACCAAGCGCGATGTCCAATTTTTGAGATTCTATTGTACTTGTACAAGTACGGTATCCTCAAGTAGCGTGAGAAGATCGATGTCTCGGGGGTAGTGGTTGCGGGTACTCGGGAGTGCCGAGAACCTAGTGTGACATGGGTGGGTGCAGAATGTAAGGGATCTTGCGGAATCTAAGTACCGGTAATATAATATACCAGTATACTCGAGTACTCGAGTACTGGGGGTTACTGGGATATTAGCAGTGCATAGATACAAGCACCAGACCCGTACTCGCCACCTCCACGCTTGGTGTGCAAGAGTAGTTTGCGAGAGATTTTACGATCTTTTTTCTATAGATTGCATGATAGTTTAAGGAATCGTTTTAAGTTGAGACTGAGAAAACCGAGACAAGCTCTCTCGCAAAGTTCCGAACTCAAGTACGGTATGATAGTGCGATAGTTCTCCGAGAGATTAGAGCTTGTGTTTGGTGGCCGATCTACGGTGTTGGCAGCTTAGTGTTCGAAATTGGTGAGTTTTAAGGCATTTGTGCAGGATCTCAAACCCAACAGGGCAAGGATACCCTTTCATAGAGGAGACCTCAATTGCGGTGAGCTATGGCCTCTACTTGAGCACGGGTAACCGGACCCATGGGGTATATTCCCCTAAATACCGGTACTTGGAATGTGTTTGTACAGCACATGAGTGATTTGCCTTGCACGGTGGTTATACTACGCCAGGATTACAAGTATATACTCGAGTAGATGGACTCGAATAGGATGGTCAGATCTCAGCCACTAAGCCCAACCTCGGTGAGATGGAGAGTCCCGAGGGGAACGGAGCCACCCCATTGCCCTAGGACACTGTGATTGTGGGGAGCGCCGGCAGATCACAAGTACTCGAGCACAAGTACTCGTACTGTACCCTACTTTTGGTATGCGCGAAAGTCTGTCCGGTCCGGTGGCTGGGTAAAGGCCGTTCTCTGGGCGGCAGGAAAGGCCACCGAGTCAACCAGATGAACTTTGACCGACTTAACCTTCATGCCTGGCACTTTATGAACTTTGTGACTGAGGTCTGGTGGATAACGCTATGATATTTTTCCACGAAAAGTGGTGGCTGTTTCCGAACATGGTTTTCTAAAGGCACATTCGCCTCTGCATAGTCCAGGATTATCTGTCTCTCACAATGGACATAAATTTTCCTCAGAGTTGTGGTTGGCTAGACCCGCCAGGATGTTATCTGTGACTTCTCCTAGGGGAGTACAAAAGTCTCAGGAATCGGGCCTCTAGGCTGTCAGGTCACACAAGCTCACAACTATTTTGTTCGTACGAGACTCGATAGCGGGAGTGGGGCGTTTGCCACGACTGGCTCTAACCAGCCATTTTATGCCTTTCTACCACCGGACTTTACTCACCCGGAGGACCATAGGCCCCGGACAAAGGGTCCCCCTCAGCCCTCTTGAAATAGATACGCATCTGATATCACAGCGGGTTGCTAGCGGGTCAATATCTAGCAATACATCGGAAGATCTCGTACTTCAGGTTGTGTGGCGTTGGGCTATTTCAAAGCCCGGAAACTCTCGATCAACGCTGTGGGTTCAAGATACTAGGGAACAATAAAGTACGTGGAGTGAACCCGAAGCCGATCCCCCAACGATGCTTCTCACCCCATTCACCAACTCCTTGTAAAACCACGGAAGCCTCTTGGAGCAATCTCCTCACCCCTCTCAACAAACCCCCCAGAGCGGAAGGACCTTACCCCAGCCAGTATCAACAGGCAACCAATACGGGCGTCCAATAACCACACAGAAGAGACCTCACATGTAAGCCCAACACCAGTGACACCCTTCCCCCAAATATATTCTCTTATTTTTTTATTTTTCCCACTGGCCCCAGGCGCCCCCGTGACACTCTTCGTGGCTTGAACAAACAAATTTGACAGGACAGCAGATCATTTCCAAACACAACCCTTGACAGGCTCACTGTGGGAGACCTCACTGGCACGAGAATACGAGCTGCGACGCTTTGCGCACGCCTTTATGCGGAAGTAAAAATCTCTTTTGTGAGCTGAGACTTAAAGGGAAGTGTAAAGTGTCGTTATTGCTCTGGTACATGCGGACCTGAGTCCTCTGACCCGGAACCTTCCGCCTGTGAGTGTCTTGGACTGGATTATAATTTGCAGCTGCAAGTATTTCTTTCACTGTACCGGATTGTCTTTGGTTATGGCTATGTTCTCGACTCGGGCCGCCTGGAAAATTCCGAACATGGGGACATATCTTCACAGAGTCTCACTCGAAAATGTTTTTTTTTCTTGGATGACTATCGGTTTGCGTATCTTGCTTGGTGATGGACGAGGTGCCTAGTCGCTGAGAGCGGTTTGATCCCCCGGGCTCTATATACAAGTATTAACCCACCTGCCCAAAAGGCGCTGCGGACACTCATTGGTTGGATCGGACAGAACAATTCCTGCTTGTGAGAAGAGGATGATACAGAAGTTTGCACGGTGGTCCGAAAGCGAAAACAAGGCACCAGTTTAATTCACGCGGATACTTACCGACCGCATACAACTTGGCAGAATGATTCTGTGGGAATCCGTCGATTTAGGGGGATTTTTTTGAGGGGGAACCCCTTGATGATCCATCCCCTTTGCTTTCTCTACCAGGAAATGATGATGTTTCCGTCCCCTTAGGTAGCAATTAAATGCCGCTAGCCGAGTGAGTGACTGCCAGGAGTTGACTGTAAATTTTGGGGAACTCTCGCGGAGTAGTTTCGGATTTCTCTTAATTGGTATAGTTTAGGCATTCGAGGATGGGAGAGAGCAAAGTATTCGACCATTTCAATTATTCTCTGTCTGCCTGTCCCTGATATACGGGCATTACTTCTACCACGGTATCAATGTCAATTCTATATATTTCCCGTGTCGTTGCACGGTGGGGATTTTAACATGTCAAGGTCACGGGGTGTCAGATGTTTGTTAGCGACGAAAGATGGCTTAATCCCCCCTTTCGATACTTTCCAATCCAATACTTTAAGCTGATGAGTAACTCTGTGCTGTATTGGCAGGATCGTTAGGGACGGTCAAGCTGTCAGCACCCGGTGTCCAGTCCCAACTATATAAGTTTTCGTCAGCGTCAGCAGGGTAGCGTCCCAAAATTGAAAACATGTCAGCATTCTATATGACACAGTCATAAGGGCTGTGCAGACTTTTTTTTAATAATAATATTATTATGATATCATACAACATTCTTTTTTGTAGCTCTAACCTCATACAAGTAGTTCATCCTACCGGTATGCTCACGGCTTGTAAAAGCAAAACATTTAAAACCATGAAACTTGTAAGATGTGGAAATCGTAATAGTGATCTTGAGAAGTCTAGTAATTTTATGAGATGTTATTACTCTGCTGAATGCTACTTTGTTAGAATAAAAGCCTCATGTTTTTCGATTACTAAAGATTTAGTCACCCCCGATAGTGTTTTAAATTTTGGGGAAGTCTCGCAAAAAAAATAGGTTACCACTATCGAATTGGGTACAGTACAGCAGTATCTTTTCCAATCAACTCTGGGTACCATTTTACTGTGTTTCTAAAATCTTCCGATTACTCTAAAAACAACGCAAGTTTAAATTTACACACATTTTGTCCCCAAATCCTTTTTGTCAGCATGGAGCATTCCAATCGATAATGGCTATCTCTTTTTTTTTAGTGTCAGCAGTTTGAAGTATGATAGAATTGCCCCACAGCTAAGGTGAGTTGGCATTGGTACTGCCCAAGACCTTACCCTGCCGTCTTCCGGTGGTATTTTGACTTTTTTCCTCCGAGGCGGATTGGAAGGGGGAGGAGTCCCATTTTCACAAATTTTTAAACATGGTAAGAGAATCCCTCCTGGTCTCCGATCCGCATCCCCAGAGATCACCACTAGGGCCTTCCCATACCACTATCATACCTCTAGGATTGAGATGATAAAAATTTAGGACCCCTCCTCTTTATCCCTGGAAACCGTCTAGACATTGAGCCAACTTGGGATCCCAATTCTTCTCTCTTGATTTTGTCTTATCATATATCTTTGTTTCATTTTCTCATCCATTGTTTCCCTGTTTCCCTGTCTTCTTGTTTTCGACTTTCTCCACTCTTCTCTCAAGCCGCCTCCTATCACTATGGCCTCTTATGACAAAGGGGGCTCCGAAAATCACGAGGGTTCCCGGACAACCGCACAACCCATGACACCAGCGATAGGAACACCGCCCCCCGCTGCCCTGGGGAAGCCTAGGGATAGGATACATCCAGCTTTCTATGTAATGTAAACACACTCCAGCTTATGCGGAATGTCTGAGACATAACTAAAGATTTTTGATTTTTTTTTGCTTCCAGAGTGTGGATTTCTCTGAGTTCCGCTGTCATTTTATTTAACAAGTGGATTCTGGATCCTGGAACCAAAAACTTCGGTATGAGAATCCCTGAATAGTCGCTGTCGTTGTGTTGCGTAGTTGCTGATCTTCCGTTCCCAGGTTTTCGTACTACCCCCCGTTTCCTTATCAATTATACCCCTGCTGCTTTTCATGATAAGAGAATCATTGAACTGACATTGGGTTTAGCAATTTTCCTAACAACATGGCATCTCCTATTTTCCTCCATTGTGACTCAGTTTCTTGCGAGAACAAGCACTTTGCTCGATGGCCGGAAGGCAGTCAAAATGACCGGGAAGGTTTACTTGCGTGCTATTTGTCCAATTGGCCTCTTCTTTAGCTTGAGTTTGGTCTGTAGCAACAAGGCATATCTCTATCTGAGCGTATCATTTATCCAGATGTTGAAGGTAACAGCCCGTCCCTGCACTACCCCGGGGTTAGCTGTTAACTGTCATGTTAGGCGACCACGCCTGTAGCGGTGCTTATCGCCTCTTGGAGCCTGGGGGTCGAGAGTCTGAATTTGAGTGTCCTGAGGAATGTCACCTTTATCGTGATTGGGATTATGATTGCCTCTTACGGCGAGATCCTCTTCGATCCCAGTGGATTTATCTTCCAGGTTTTCGGAATTGGATTCGAGGCAGTCCGACTTGTCATGGTTCAGAGATTGCTCTCTTCAGCAGAGCTCAAGATGGATCCACTTGTCTCGCTATATTATTTCGCACCGATATGCGCAGCCATGAACTTCGTGCTGTTCTTGATTTTCGAGAGCAGTTCCTTGGGGGTATCAGAACTACTGATGATTGGATGGCTTACATTTCTTCTAAATGCTCTCGTAGCATTCGGTTTAAATGTCTCGGTGGTTTTTTTGATTGGGAAAACGTCCTCACTGGTCCTCACTCTTTGCGGTGTTTTGAAGGATATTTTGCTCGTCTGTGCTTCAATGATCATCTGGGGAAATCCAGTTACTATCCTTCAATTTTTTGGCTACAGCATTGCCCTATCTGGTCTTTTGTATTACAAACTGGGCGCCGACAAGATCAACGAGCAATATGCGCATCTACGAGGATTGCGGCTTGGCACAGGAAGTCTATCAAATCGCCGGTTGGGAATTGGTGCTGCTTCCCTTTTTACGGTGATAGTTTTGGGAACAATGTATCATGGTCGATACCCTACTCGAGATGCTACATTTGTGGGTGCACATACGTCATACAGCTCCTCTAGGTTCATCACCGGCAACCGTGTCTCTAGGAGCAGGTTTGATATTGTTATCAGCATGTCCCAGGAGAATACCCAAACAATTCGTGATCGGGTGGAGGAAATCCTTAGCCTTCCGCAGCTTTCAACTTTGGAGACAAAGGTGGTGGTGTACAGCATGGATAAAACAGCGGACTTGGTGTCTTTAATCAAGGAGACCGGTGCGGATGCTGCCGAGAGTATTCCCAACATTAGTCGTGAGACTGGAGCCTATCTCCACCATATCTTGAAACACTGGGATAATCTCGCAGACCACACCCTTTTCCTCCATCCGGATATTGAGGACTTTGATCATGTGAAGGCTCGGATTGAAGATTTTTTCCTTCCTTCTACTGGTATGCTTTCTCTCGGGATTGGCCATGCAGAATGCTCCTGCAACGAATGCCGTGACCCTTGGGCATCGGCAGATACTTGGGCTCGGGTACCTCAGATATTCTCAGCCGTTTATGGAGAGTTGTGCCCGGGCACTAGTATCCTTCTGTCTCGCGGGTCAGGGTTTATCGTCTCTTCAAGAAGGGTTAAGGGAACCGATAAGCATATCTACCAACACCTTAAAGAGGTATTGGAGAGTGATGAGAAGCACTGGATTCACCAGGATACGAGGCAGCCTGGCATGGAAGATGCTCCACAAAATCCATATTTCGGCCACGCTCTAGAGAGGAGTTGGATGATAGTCTTCAAGTGCTCGGAGATGAGGCTTGTCAAGAGTTGCCCGAAGTTAGATACTAGGAGGAAGCCTGACGACTGGGATGATGTTTGCCAGTGCCTGGATACCGGGTTGGGGGGGCACTCGGTTTAGACTATAAGTGCTTTAAGTGGGGGCTCTCTATTTCTTGATTTCGCTTGTAGTGCTGTATATACCTTTTTCGCTGTTTCTTTTGATAGTGCTTGTTGGATTTGTTTTACCTGGGGGTGTTGTGGTGTTTGAATACAAGTTGGGGGTTTTGTGGATCATCTATCTTAGCTATCGGGCAAAAGTTTTATCGAATCCCAGCAGTACAGTTCCGTGTTTTAGGTTAACTTTCAGGGGTGGGCGACGTGAGTTCGTATGATACTTGGGTGTGAGGAGTGAAGATATTGCCGGGTAGGCTTTCAAGCGACTGACGGTAACAGTTGCGCCGTGTCCCTGCCAAGTTGTTAATAAGTTTATTAGGAAACCCTGCTACGGTACTCGAGAAACACTACTATTCGAGTATGACACCGTAGATCAGTCATCACCTGCTCTGTAGAACTCCCAGGGCAAGTATGATAATAGTTTTCGTATTATGAGGGTTTTTGCCGGGCGCCGCGGTACTAGTTTGAGCTTACGTTATCCGGTACTTCTGGGATCCCCCCAGCCCTGGCTGCCGGAACCTAATGTGGCCACCATATTGAGTTGGGGATGAGGCCGGTCCTGGCGGGGAGGAATGACAGGAAGACCTCCGGCGGCGAGTGCCGTGGGCACTTGGCATATTTCCTACAGAAAGAACACCTCCCAACCCAACTCGGCCCCTAAGCTCCCTCGGGGTCTTGAATAACTAGATAGTAGGTACTTTTCGCTTGGCGATCGGGGGTCTATGGGGGAACATACGATATTCGTTTCCCAGACACTCTATTCAAGCTAGATTTCACCGCCCAATTATCGATCGGGTGGAGGAGACCGGATAATTGCCGAACAGCCGGCCGCCTCACCTTTCAAATCCCGGTGTTGATCCTCTCACGACCGGAGATATCTCGACGGCTCGTTAATGAAGGAAGAGAGCATGCCATTTAATATCAATTGGGTCCCTGCTGCGCCTATTTCTGTACTCAGATAGTGGCTTGTACACCGGCGGTCCTGCCAAGGGGGAGTTTACGCATTGGCGTTTTTATCTAGCTCCGGCTCATATATCTATTACTGCAGTCACCCCCTCTCGCCCTTCGATCCTGTCGGTGAACTAGAATGCTAGTTTATATATATAGCTTCTCGACTTCTTCATGTCCCAATAGGAGAGCCAAAATATATGGTTTCAAGACCAGAGGGCGGAGTACGGGACCTACTCGGCGCGGGGAATACATTACATCCTAACAGGCACCGGCGCAGTTGCGGTATCGGTTGCTTCTGCTATTATCTACAGCGGGCTTTGCAAATTGTGACATATCCTGGTGGTTTTCGGGTTTGCCCAGCTGTAGGTCCCGTCCTTCTCTCCTGGGTCAACTTGATCCTGAAGCCATACCTCTCCACCTTCACCACCGGCGCCATGATGACCCCGGACTGGGTGATATATGCCTGGATCCTGATCCCCATGTTCTCTGCGGTCTTCTCCATGACGCACTAGGCGTTGATGATGTTTGGGCAGTAGATGCAGAAGCGGTATGAGCGCCGTGAGAGGGGGGGCCATGTGCAGGGCCAGGGAAAGGTTGTGGTGTACGAGGAGGTGGTTGTGGAGGGAGTTGAGTCGGGGGTGTAATATTATTATCCTGGTGGAGGAGGGGTCGGTTATGTCACGAATATTAAATTTTGATAGTTTTATGTCTGTTGGGACTTGGATTGTGTTCCCGCCTCTATTTTTCTTTCCCTTTTAAAAAACTTGGTAGATATAAGTTAGTTATTCCATGAAATTCCTGAATAGCACGCTACTCCTGGTCAAGCCTTCTATTCCATGCAGAACATACCACTCATAAACCCTAGCAATCCACACTTGCAAAATCTCCAATCCCACTGCAGTAATACCGCAAATGCCATTGCACCTATCACATAAACCCCACACAAAACCGGACCCCACCCGGTGCATCCGCCGATTAGGCTTCCCATCATAGCCGTACCAAGCCCCAACAGCTACACCTGCAGCTACCCGTATTGAAGGGTAGATATGTCATCGAAAGCCTTGTCCACTCAATTTCTTCCCCTCTGCGAGAAGGTTGAATTAGGCTTCCAGTGGTGGGGGTGCACGTCGCACAAGGTGGACAACGGACGCATGGCATCACCTGATCCATCATCCGTCGTTGGACCTTAGGCCCATTTGATTTCGGTGCGAGAATACCTATGGGTGCGGTTCACACAGGTTGACCTAGTTATTCGGTTAGTGGAGGTGTGGTTGATAGAGGTTGTGATTAAGTTAGTGGTTATTGATGGGGAAATTTTTCGGAGGGGGGAGTGTGAAAGGGATGAAAGGTTGTTGGAGGGGGTCAGGGGTGGTGGGTGGGCAGTAGGTCTACCTAATTATCGCGGCTAATGAATTCGGGATATCTGTATATCCCGAGGTACAAAGCTATATACTGTACAAAATCTGACTCGGAGTTTTGCTTTGTTGGTGGTGGTGAAGAGTCCTGTGAGGTCATGGGTTGGTGGCGGCGGGTGGTTTGAACTCACGAGTGATTCTGAGTGATGCAGTGTTGGTATCCTTTGGTCATTGGTGGCGTTCGATGAAGTTTGAGGGTGTATTCATGGAGGGGAGATTGAGGTGGTCTCGTCCTTCTATAATACTAGAAGCGAAGCTATTGTCTCTGAAAGGAGCAGAATTTATCACTCTTTATTTTTAAGTTCTTCCTCGACAGAGAGCTTTGTTTGTTGGTATCAAGTCAGGTAGCGTTTCCACCATGGATCAGTTCCGAGTTTTTCTTTTCTATGGTTCATGTGTCTCGAAAATTTTCTCCTTCCCTTCGAGCCACGGTCCATTAGTAGGCTCTCCACATCCTCCTCCCTTTCCTCTTTCCTTGCCACCCCTGCTTCATTTAGTCCACACAACCATCACAACTCCTCGCTTCAAACCACCGCGGCCAATCCAAATTGAACATTAACAATTTCCATTAGTCATAAATCCCTACTTAAGATGCGTATCTTCCTTGAAAAATGTCTGGCTCTCTTCAACCTCTTCACCCTCGTCCTCTCGGGAACCATTTTCAGAAATGACACCTTCAGCTCTGGCGCTGACATTTCCTACGGCTACTCCCGCTCCACCGGTCCAAACCTCTGGCACAAGCTGTCTCCCGAGTGGGGAGCGTGCGCAACCTCCAAGCAGCAATCTCCAATCAACGTCGGCGCGGCAACCACCACGGCTGTCACGGGCTCCCAATTCCTTTACCCGCCGATGGCGTACTTCGAGGTTTTCTACCATGCGTATGCGTTGAGGGTTCAATTGACTCCAAAGGGTCCTCAGGAGTTCACGGCTATGCTAGGCGGGCGGAGATATAGGCTTGTCCAATTCCATTTCCAGTTGCCCGGGGAGCATACACTTGAAGATGAGTACTTTCCGGTGGAGATTCACTTTGTCCATGAGAGTGTTGACTGTAAGTTGTTCCTTTTCCCTTTTGCGTGGAAAAAAATTAAATTAAATTTAACATTTTTTTTTAGTTCCAGGACAACTCGCAGTAGTTGGTATCTTTGGAGACTTCTTAAAAGGGACTGGAGCACCCGACCCAGTCTTTTCCTCCCTCAAAGACCAATTGGAGGTATTACGTCGGTCCAAAGATGTACATATGCCCGCAAAGATAGATTTCAAGTAAACATTCCCTCTCTCCCCCATTGCCCTTCCCAGTACTCACCATGCATCACCTCTTTCTTTTAGGAGCATCATCAAAAATGTCGAAACTTCCAAGATCCATTACTATAACGGATCGTTTCCATTCCCACCCTGTTCCGAAGGAGTCCTCTGGTTCGTCTCAGGGACTCCTGTTCGCCTGGGCAACGAAGAATTCCAGGGTCTCAAGAAGGTCACCAAGTTCAATTCCAGGCACGTCCAGAACGATATCGGCCTGCCAAATTTGCTGGACATGGCTTGTGCTGGCGGGGCATATAAGAAAGGGGGGTCCTAGATTTGCGGGTGGGGGATGAGCAAAGTTTTTTTTTTTTTGCTCTTGGATAGATAAATAAATAAATGATAGATTGGGAATTCTTTGTGCTGTTTTGTTTCTTCCATTTCCCCTCGGGTGTTATACAGTAGTTTTTCCCTGACTTCATCGACTTCTCTCCGAACCTTATGTGAATCTTATGCGTGAATATATCACCGCCAGGTGTTGGTAGGTGATAAACACCATGTGACAATATCATCACGTATATGCCTTTGATATGACTATATGTCAAACCTTGTGATATTCCTTTTCTACGAAGCTCTAGTTTGTTCTCGTGAGCAACGAGGGCAGGGCTAAAGACTACTACTTCCGGGCTTGTTACTAAAGTTTCTGCTGGTGGGAGGAGGTTTTAAGTCAGTCTTTGGGAAAATGGCAGTAGGATAGCTCATAAACTTGACACCTCAGGTTTACTCCAACACTTGCCGATAATCTTTATATACCTTTTCACGTATCACTCTGTGCTCAAGCACCCCTTAAGCCAATATCATCCATAACAATTTTGTGTAAGAAGCGGGGATCCCATCATTGAGTTTGAAGTTCTACCTACACCACCTACACCCCCAAACTAGATACACCCCACCCCATCCCTCAGAAAAGTAACTATGTTACCTTGAACACCTTCTTCCCAAAAACTTTCCGTTGTTGTTTTGCTACCAAAATCTTCCATCGTAGTCTTAGAGCGAAGGGGCAAGTGAAGCGTAGGCTCAATCCGATAAGACAGCGGGGAACGGAACAGCTACCTCCCTTCCCCAGACGGCTTTCCCGCATAAAGTCCTTTGTTCACCCTCCGCCCCATCTGAACTTGGTTTTACCTACGATTCGAACGTCCGATGGCCAGGCATTGGGGTGATTTCTGGGGCGAACTAGATCAGACTTATGGGAGGCCTGAGAAAAAAAGAAAAAGAAATAGCTCTGGGGGATAAGGTTATAGTGCGATAGTGCTATGGAGCTATGGATGAGCATGGCAGGTCCCAACGTTCCCATTATCGT